AAGTATCAGGATCTTGCTCGATACTTTTCCAAAGAGGAATGGCTGGAAATGGCAGACTGGGAAAAGGTCCGCTACAAAAACCTAAAGCAAAACTTTGAGAAATTGCTTGACATAGGTAAGGCTGAACCAATGACATTGCTATACATAACCAGGCACTTAATGATTAGATAATAGTTTTGTTTTTACATTTCTGTTATATGTGTGGCTGTCCTGGCATAGCCAAAGCATACCATGCTAATTAATTTAACAACCACACTGCCATACGCACAGAGGCATTTCTCTGCAGATACTTGATTGTATCAGAGGCATGACATCTACTTACACAGAGCAGTACTCTGGAGGTTAGTGTATTTCTAACTTAGATTCACTTACTGCTTCAATAGTGTTTACTAGGTGGTGGGAATTAGGAATTTGTTCCAGAGAAGTGATAATTCCATTTTAAGCATGCTATATATAATTTCACTGAGGATTGCTTTGGAAATGTCCGCACCAGTAAAGGACAACGAGGAGGAATCAAATATAAGAAATGTTAAATAAATAAATAAATCTCACCATCATTATATTAAGTAAGATACCAACCGGAGACGTCACATGCAGTGAAGAAGTACTGAGAGAGCTCATCCAAAAAGTTTCCCTCCCCTGAAGGCACAAAATCAGCAAACACTTTTGGAAAAAATATTATTCTATTCCAAATGAGGGGTCTCATGCCCCTCTAGGTAGCCGTTTATTGACATAGGAATTGCAATCCTCTGTCTGCCAGGTAACTTTTATGGGGTCATATGCCCAGGTTACTTGATAACACCATATGCATAGGTAATACATTAATAATGGGTGGGGTAACTCCTTGTTATGTCACTAAAAAGACACAGGCAAACAAAATACCCCTAATTTTAAAACCGAAATCCCACTTTTAAAGAAGTGGTCTTGTGATTTTTTTTTTTTTTTTTATCAATACAAACTGTATTTTGCCAGCAGTGGCAGTTACTTCGATATTGCTAAAAAGAGCAACAAACAAATATATCTGAATAAATAACATTTTATTTATTCCAGGTTTTAAAGTACCAAAGCCGAAGTTTATGACCAAGAAGCACCAATCTACAGAGACCTCTGCCATTGATGAGGATGAAGAATGGACTCCAAAGCTAAAAAGTAAGAATACTTCAATTAAAGCAATAAAAAGCCTGTTAAGAACCAATGGACACTCCAGGCACCCAGACCACTTCAAATGGACACTCCAGGCACCCAGACCACTTCTGCCCATTGAAGTGGTCTGGGTGCCAACTCCCACTACCCTTAACCCTGCAACTGTAAATATTGCAGTTTTCAAAAACTGCAATATTTACATTGCAGGGTTAACTCCTCCTCTAGTGGCTGTCTACTAGACAGCCACTAGAGGGCACTTCCTGGTTTATGTAGTAAAATAAAGGTACTTGAAGACAACAAGTGCCAAATACACACACCACTCCCTGTGTACCAATAAAAAAATAAATAAAAAAAAGATACTTATACATGTACAGATATATGTAGGAAATATTCCATGTAGTAAATTCCTTTAACAACAAAAAATAGTACATAGTATAGACTGTATATACAGATAAAAAATTATAAAAGTGATTAAATACACTCACGAATTCAAGAGCCGTGCCAGGCTCTGCATATAATGCCCAAAGGTGCCTCAAAAGGCTATGTAGAGAATCTCAGATGATGTCCCCAAAAATCAGCAAAAGCAGCAAATGATGGTATAAAAAATAAACAAATTTATTGTAAATAAAGGTTAAAAGATGACTGTGCAGGTCCCATATGGTGACACACAAATTCAGTTATGCAGACGCGTTTCAACTCAGTCCGAGTTTTCATCAGTGCATAAAAATCATCCAGCTGCTGTTCCTTTTAAATTTGCCGCTTCTATGATTGCCGGTCACGTGGGTGGAAGTTCGGCTGACCGGCGTCTGATGTCACTTCCGGTATTTTCGGCGCTCATTTCGTTGGCTTTATTCAATTCAGTTCATTTGCCCAGTTGAAGCCAAAGGCTCCATATTGTGGATGGGCACCTATCGTGACTTGTAAAATGCATATATATAAACAATAACTCGTAATATAAAATAACATAATTGTGTATACAAATAGCAATATTCATGCATGTATAGATCCCCTACAAGGGGGAGATAGTAAGAGACATGTAAAAAAATAATACACAATGTCATAAAGATATATATCACATTTGCAACATGTAAATACAGCCCATATGAATAGGATTGGTGGGTCAAAGAGAGCAAAAATGAAAATATAAAAATATATAAAGAATATGTAAAAGATATGTTAAAAATATATATATATAATGGGCTGATACTCAAAAATGCATAATGTATATATTTAAAGGGATACAAAAATCATTAAAAAAATGAGCCAGCTCAAAATCTAAATTTAAGCCATTAGGGGATAGTGTTTAATTCAAATATCCACCTGCTTTAAAATTTACAAAGTTCTTTAAAATTATCTTCGCCCCTCCAATCCTTTTTCTTTTGAGCAATAGCAATAAAACTGGCATAGGAAGGGTCACTATTATGGCATTGTGAAAACTGTGCAGAGACACTGTGTTTGGCATACCCCCTCTGTATATTGCCCAAGTGTTCCAGCATGCAAGTTTTTAAAGTCCTCGTGGTCATTCCCACCTACTGTAATTCACAAGGGCACCAGAGGAGGTATATTACATTACTAGAATAGCATGTAAGGATAGAATTGATTTTGTACTCGTTTTTTGATGTATTAGAAATAAATTTAGTGTGTGTCTTTTTTGAATTTTGTTCTTTTGCAGGCTGTGCACATTTTACACAGGTAGAAACCATGCCTTTGACTGAAGGCATTGGTGTTGGCGGCCTTAGTTTTTATATGGTTTTTAACTAATAGAGTTTGAAGGTTTTTTGTACCTCTATACACAATTTTTGGCTTTTCACTGATGTCATTAAGACCTTCATCAGTTCTCAAAATATGCCAATATTTGTGAATGATAGATTTTATATGGTTAGCATTACCACTGTAGTCCAAAATCAAGAGGGGTTCCTCTTTCTGTTTAATTACTTGTCTATCTTTATATTCTAATAAGGACTCTCTATTTAGTTGTTTAGTCTCCTGGATCTGATAGTCTAAAATAGTCGGATCATATTTCTTTTCCACAAAAAAGGTTTTTAAGTCGTCCTGCCTGTTCTTCATATTCCTTGGTGTCACTGCCGTTCTTAAAAATATGGTTAAATTGGCTCTTGGGCACATTGCGCAACCACGGATCGTAGTGACAACTGGTGGTGTCAATGTACCCATTGACGTCCACCGGTTTGAAGAAAGTTCTTGTGGAAATATGATTATTGGAAACATAAATCTCTAGGTCCAAAAACTGGCTGACGTTTGGCTAATTTGGCTGCTCAAAACAATATTTCTACGATTATCATTGAGACCTTCCAAAAAAGATCCAGCGAGGTTCTAGACCCCTTTCATATGAAAAAAATATCGTCGATATACCTGCGCTAGAGGACCAGACCCGCTCCCCTGTCGTCCCGTCCTGGAAGGAAAGTACCCTCCCAATGGGACATGAACAAGTTGTCATAGCTAGGAGCGAATCTGGTCCCCATCGTAATACCGACTAACTGTAGAAAGAAGGAACCATCAAACCCCAAAAAATTATTAGTGAGAATTAAACGAATGCTGTCTATAATAAAATTAATCTGGCTTTCAATAAACGTATTGCTCTGTGTCAAAAAATATTTAATGGCTTCACAGCCCAGCTCATGTGAGAACTGGTAAAGAACTGGTATACGACATACCGATATATTTAAATATTTATATTCATGTTTATTAAGAATCCCATCTTCCATTCACTTACTTAATAATAATGTATATTTCTTTATTTCCAAAGTAGGATCTGCCTTTAATTTGACATAGATGGAGGCATCGTTTAACTGTCTGTATACTTCCTCCATGTAGTCCGCAACATTCAGTACAACTATGCCCCCACCCTTATCTGCTGGCTTGATTACAATATTATGATCCTGTTGAAGATCCCTAAGGGATTTAATTTGAGGGTAATTAAGATTACTTTTTTCTTTTTAGATATTTGTCTCACATCTTTTGTTACAAATTTCTCAAAAACTTTCATTTCGCCACTAATATGATTTTTTGGAAAAAACTGGGATTTATCTTTTAAATTTGTATGTACAAAATTATCCTTACTAATTTCTCTTAATTCATTAGTGGGGAATTTTTTAAAATGTTTCTTTAAACAAAGTTTTCGGATAAATTTATGGCTATCTATAAAAGTATTGAAGTATTGGTGCTAGTCTGTGAATTTCAGGCCCTTATTGAGGACTTCTAATTCCTATTTGTTAGGACTTTGAGAGTTTGAAAATACCTAATAATGGTTTTTACCTCTTTTTTTTCAAAGTCCAAAATTCTTCCTGCTTGGCATCCCCTTCTCCCTGACCCCAGGGTCTCTTTGACCTCTGTGGGCGGGAGGGTTGGTCCTGTACTAAAAAAGAATGGGATGAGTGTTGAGAAGTTCCAGCATTAGATTTGGCTTTATTTTTAACGGTATAATTTGTATTATCACCTGTTATATCATCCATTAGGGGTCTATACGTACTCCCATAATTAGGGGTGTATTGCTGGTTTCGCTTGGAAGGCTGTGTCCTATTTGGGCCACTAAATTTAGGGGAGCCCCTGAAGGCTGATTTATTATACTCTTTGGAATGACATTTTTTTATATGAATTTTCATTTACCTTTTGATTATCTCCATTGTAGTTCATTATATGTCTACTAGGTTTTGGCCCAGAATTAAAGTTTCTGGGATGATTTCTTTTATGTTTGGCAAATGAACGAACTCTATCATAAGCATAGTCATGCTTGTCCCTAATGTATTTACTTTTTTTGATGGAAACAACCTCTTCTTCCTGTTTATCTATATTTTCTTGAGGTAGTAACTTCCTCAATGTCTGACATGGGTTGAAGTTTTTCTTTAATCTCATTGATTTCCCTGTCTAATTTCACAAGATTACGTTTCCTTTGTTGGACGATGATGGACATCATACGAGCAGAAAAGGATTCCAATGCTGAATTCCAAATCTCCATGAATCCATCATCGTCCTGGTCAAAGGTAGGTTTCTTAAAGAACCTTAGACCCCTGGGAGTATTTTTTTTTTCTGCCAGATATTTTTCCATGGTAAAATTTTTGTTTCTTTAATCAATAACTTTTGCAGTGAGTCACAGGTATAATCAAAATCATATTCACGAAACCTAATGGGTTCTGACTCACAGTGAAATTTTCTGGCCAATTTATCTTGCCAATTATTTATTTTTTCTAATAATTCCATCTTTCAATGGACTGGAGCAGCCTACACTTATTGGGAAATGGTAAATGGAAATAAAAAGAGGAGAGAAGTGAATGGCGCTTACACAGTAAAATGAACAATAAAAACACAGTAATGGAGTGAAAAAGGTGTTCACCAACACCCTAAAGTCAAAGTAGTAAAATAAAGGTACTTGAAGACAACAAGTGCCAAATACACACACCACTCCCTGTGTACCAATAAAAAAAATGATACTTATACATGTACAGATGTATGTAGGAAATATTCCATGTAGTAAACTCCTATAACAACAAAAAATAGTACTAGTGCAAAAGGACAAAATTCAAGAAAGACACACACTAAATTTATTTCTAATACAAGAAAAAGGAGTACAAAATCAATTCTATCCTTGCATGCCATTCTAGTAATGTAATATACCTCCTCTGGTGCCCTTGTGGATTACAGTATGTGGCAATGACCACAAGGACTTTAAAAACTCGCATGCTGGAACACTTGGGCAATATACAGAGGGGGTATGCCAAACACAGTGTCTCTGCACATTTTTCACAATGCCATAATTGTGACCCTTGCTATGCCAGTTTTATTGCTATTGCTCAAAAGAAAAAGGATTGGAGGGGCGAAGATAATTTTAAAGAACTTTGTAAATTTTAAAGCAGGTGGATATTTGAATTAAACACTCTATCCCCTAATGGCTTAAATTTAGATTTTGAGCTGGCTCATTTTTTATAATTTTTTTATAATTTTATAAAAAAACATTTTTTTTTTAATGATTTTTGTATCCCTTTAAATATATACATTATGCATTTTTGAGTATCAGCCCATTATTTATTTTTATCTATATATAAATATATCATATAATTTTATTTTTTTTTACATATTCTTTATATATTTTTATATTTTCACTTTTGCTCTCTTTGACCCACCAATTCTATTCATATGGGCTGTATTTACATGTTGCAAATGTGATATATATCTTTATGACATTGTGTATTATATTTTTACATGTCTCTTACTATCTCCCCCTTGTAGGGGATCTATACATGCATGATTATTGCTATTTGTATACACAATTATGTTATTTTATATTATGAGTTATTGTTTATATAAATATGCATTTTACAAGTCACGATAGGTGCCCATCCACAATATGGAGCCTTTGGCTTCAACTGGGCAAATGAACTGAATTGAATAAAGCCAACGAAATGAGCGCAGAAAATACCGGAAGTGACATCAGACGCCAGTCAGCCGAACTTCCGCCCACGTGACTGGCAATTTTTTTTTTAAATCAAATTTAGTATTTACTTTAGAAGTTTTTATCACCTGCTTTGTTAATTGAATGACACACGAGGCTGGTGCAGGCTCTAGCAAGCAATTAACAGAGCGTGAGATTAGAAATTCTAAGTTAAACACAATGTGCAATAAGGGAAATTAGAAATGTAGACTCTTTTCCAGGAAGTGAATAGGAAACAACTGATTATCGGTTGGGCTAATAAAATCATCAGCTATTCAGCCTTTTGGTGATGATCAGTTTTGAGATTGCCGATACTAATGGGGGGGGGGCGGGTAGGGCACAGCATACACTCTCCATTTACCGGCAGCTTCTCTCTCCAACTCTAGTGAGCCCCAGGCATCAAAGCATTGACGCGGGTTACCATGCCAACGAACTGTGCAGGATACCAGACTAGAGTGAGGACCCGCCAAAAACTGAAGATAGCGTGTGAGGGGCCCCATGTTCAATATACAAGATCCAGACAGCCTGCCACTGCATGGGTTTTATATAAAAGAGCACATTTTTGTTGCTTCATTATGAGGTTTCCAAGAATAATAGCATTTATCTCTGCAGCTTATATTCAAACATTTTATGTGCACTCTACTAAGTATTCACTAATATTATACTATCTCTGCTCATACCACACTGCCAACCCATCAGCACGGTGCCCTCTGCCACCTACCAATTTACCACCTTTGCAGACCACATCCACAAACCCTGTTTATATCATCTTCCTGGTGTGCAAATCACAAATCTCTTCTATGGATTGTATACTCGCCACTGCCTCGTGACGTACATAACAGGGCCCGGCTGCCCTGCGACCCGGTATGTACACCACTGTGGCCAGCCTCTTCTCCTGGGGGACTAGGAGCTGGCCACCTCAGGGCCCCTGAGGTTGGCCCTGGTGTTACCGGGCTGGCGCGCGCGCAAGGGAGAACTCTCCCCCGAGCACTCTCTGCTCAGCTCCCTCGCACGCACCGCACTGATGCCGGAGCCGGAATATGACGTCATTCCGGATCCGGCATCAGTAAGCGGCAAGCGAGGGAGCTGAACAGGAGGAGCTCAGTGCTCCCTCACACACCAGCAGGACCGGCCGCCCAGCAACACCAGTGGACCTCAGGGAATCCGCAGCAGGTAGGGAGGCTGGGGGATCAAAAAAAATACATGTGTATGTGTGTTAGTTTTTGTGTCAGTGTGTGTGTTACTGTGTGTGTATCTGCTAGTGAGTGTGTTAGTTTTTGTGTGTGTCAGTGAGTGTGTTACTGTGTGTGTCTGTTACTGAGTGTGTTAGTTTGTGTGTCTGTTAGTGAGTGTGTGTTTGTCAGTGAGCTCCAGCTACTTTTTTATTTGCATCCTTATGTGGAAAAACAAATTCCCTAGACTAGCATTTGATAGTATGACAAAACGATCTAGTAATTCATCTACCCGAGACATCGGGTAAGGGGTCAGTGGTGGTCCGCTCGTTGAGTCGCCTGTAGTCCACACAGAACCGAGTGGTCCCGTCCTTCTTGGGCACCAGGACTACAGGCGAGGCCCAAGGGCTGTCGGAGGGTTTGATGACCCCAATCTGGGTCATCTCCTGTATCTCCTTACGCATTCCCACAGCAGCTGCTTCGCTTGTACCCTTTCAGTGGTGTCCCCTAGCTGTACAAGGTTAGTGAGGTCAGTCTGGGGTCCCTTTCTAACAAATCGGGAAGGGGTAAATTCTTAGGGTCATCTGCAGCAGGGGCGCATACTGCAGCAACATTCTCAGGTCTCTCCTGATACTCCTTCAGCATGTCACATGAAAGGATCTCTGAATCCTCTCATCTGTACTGCTGGCTATAAGGTAGGTAGTATCACATACCTGTGCTATTACTCTGTACGGGCCCTGCCAAGACGCTTGCATCTTGTTGGCCTTCACAGATTTGAGCACCAATACCTTCTGCCCAACCTGGAAGACTCGCTGTCGGGCACCCTGATTGTACCATCTCATCTGGCTCCCCTGGGCCGCCTGGAGATTCTCTCTTACCATCAGAGACAGTTTCTCCATGCGGTCCTGGAGTTCCAGGACATAGGGTACTATGGGGATCCTCTCCTGCTCGGTCTCCCCCTCCCAGTGGCCTCTAATGAGATCCAGGCGTCCGCGGACCCTTCTCCCATAAAGCAACTCAAAGGGGGAGAACCCAGTAGATTCCTGGGGCACCTCTCTGTAGGAAAATAACAGATGAGGCAGGAATCTCTCCCAGTCTCTGCAAGTATCTGTAAAGGTCCTCAGCATCTGCTTGAGGGTACCGTTAAAGCGCTCGCAGAGACCGTTAGTCTGTGGATGATAGGGTGAGGTAAGCAATGGTTTAATGCCACACACCTTCCACAGCTGCTGGGTGAGCACAGCGGTGAATTGGGTTCCCTGGTCGGAGAGGATCTCCTTAGGGAACCCGACCCTAGTGAAAATTCGAACCAGGGCATCAGCAACCGTCTCTGCCTCTATATTAGACAGCGCTACTGCCTCTGGATAGCGAGTGGCATAGTCCACCACAGTGAGAATATATCTCTTACCGGATGGACTAGTCCTGGCCAGTGGACCCACAATGTCAACGGCTATGCGGGAAAAGGGCTCCCCTATAATAGTCATCGATAATAACCTAGCCTTAGGATGGTCCCCCCGCTTTCCTACCCGTTGACATGTGTCACATGTACTGCAATACTTCCACACAGCCTGATTAAAGTTGGGCCAAAAGAAATTCTCCGTGATCCTATAGGCTGTGCGGCGAGACCCTAGATGTCCAGCTAACAGAACATCATGCCCTATCCGCAATCTCCTGCCGTTATTTTGCAGGTACCACTAGCTGTCGATTCGGCGGAGGGGCAACACTTTTCTGAGAAGGCTTAGGGATCCTATAGAGCCCCACCCACCCATACCGCTCCCTATCTACTCCTTCCTCTCCAGCATCTGCTCTATCCCGGTATTTATGGAGAGTCGGGTCTGCCCGGGTTTCCCTCCCAAACTCCTCTGGGGAATCCCAGCTTAAAGGGGCCTGACCAGGGAGGAGGGTCTTACCTGGGTCTCATCAGCAGGCGAGCCGGTTCCAATAGCATGGGTCTGAGCATGAGTAGTCACAGGGTTAACGTCAGCGGGGCCCATCTGGGCATAAGCAGAAACCAAAATCGTTCCCAAGAAGGACATCAGCGGGCAAGTCCACATGTCTAGCACCCACTCCCCAATCCAAATGGACCCGGGCAACAGGTAGACGGAACACGGCGCCCCCTGCTACCCTCACCGCCACAGTGTCTCCAGTATGTTGGTGTTCTGAGACAAAGTTCTTTTGGAGCAGTGTCATAGTGGCTCCTGTGTCTCTCAATCCGTTCACCACTCTGCCATTTAGCTTAACAGTCTGCCGGTGTTGCTGACGGTTGTCCTGATGGGCTGCCTGTACAGGGTCGCCTCGTGTAGTATGCCCCAGAATTCCTCCTGCTCTATACAGTGAGCAGCAGGCTGAGGTGGACGTGGATTCCCGCCGGCTGGTCTTCTCCATGACTGTGCTTGATTGGTGCCGTTCAGTGGGCACTCTGGTCGCTTGTGCCCCAACTGTTTACACCCAAAGCACCTAATGGGTTGAGAATAATCCTGGGTGTTAAACCGGGATGGCTGGGTATAACTGTTAGCTGGCGGTAGTGTTGGAGTGCGGTGTGCTGGAGGTTGGTATACGCCAGGGGCTGGAGGTGCTGCTGGTCTGTACTCCGTTCTGGCAGGGGCTTTGGGAACTGCACTGTCCAGTCTACGTGCGTCTGTGTACTCATCTGCCAGACGAGCAGCTTCGGGCAAAGTGGAGGGTTTTCGATCCTTGACCCACTCTCTGACTCCGGCAGGTAATTGATCAAAACGGTGTTCCAGCAGAAACACTTGCAGCACCTCTTCCCCAGTTACCGCTTGGCACCCCGCCATCCAGTGGGCTGCTGTATGGTGGACTCGGCATGCCCACTCTACATAGGAGTCGCCAGCTTGTTTATTAGTCTCCCTAAATCATCGTCTGTACGCTTCTGGGGTCACTGTGTATCTGTACGCTTCTGGGGTCACTGCTCGGTAGCTGGTGATCTCCTTCTCTGGAATGACCCATTCGTCCATGGGTATCTGGTGTAGGGCACACTGCCTTTCAAAGTCAGCCAGGAATCTCTCCCTCTGTCTCAATAAAATTTTTAAATGCAGCAAAGGGTACCTTTCTCTTTCCAATATTATTGGGTACCTCTGCTGCTGCAGCTCCTCTTTCCTGGAGCGCTTGGTGTGCCATCACTGCTGCCTGCACACGTTCTACAATGTCTGCTGAAGGGTTGGGGCCAAAGTGTACCAGCCTTATCTGGACTGCCCGGTTAAATTGAATCTTCTCGGGTGTTAAATCCAAAATGCTGGGCACATTAGCTCTCTCCATTCCCTGTGCTGCATCCATTTCAAATAGTAAAGCAATAATCTCACATTTCTTTAGATTACTTGTTGACCGTCCTCGGCGTTCAAGTATGTCTTTAAGGGTAGCACGCCTTAATTCCTCATACTGAATTTCCTCCACCAAACTGGGATGTGTAGCTGACCTTCTGTGCTGTGGGATTCATCCCGTCGCTTGCCACCAATTGTTAAGACACCCCTGATGCCTGTGAGGGAAACCACCGTTTAGTTAAGTTTCCCCCTTAGCAATCTCTCTATCTCCATTCGCATAGACTGCTGTATACGAACCACCACCAGAGGAAGCGGTAATCTCCCGAACGGGATCCGTAAGAGTCTCCAAACTCCCGAACAGAAATCCACGAATCGCCGCTAGCCGCCGAACAAGTATATCCACCAAGTGGCTTTCGGCTCCAGCAATCATTCTCTAGTCGTCAGTAATAAATCCCCCCAATAACGAGACTACGCTCCGCATTGTGGGTCAAACAGGATCTGGCTTTACTGTGGGCTACCCGCCCGTATTTATGCAGGTCTCCCACTTGGTGGACACTCCCCTAGGGGACCAAATGGGAGACTGTAATGAAAGATGGACATATGGACATTTTAGACATACAAGCACATACTTTTCCCACAATGCAATATGGTTTCCTCCCCTGTGCCCTGGAGATAATTGAGAAGTAATTAAATTATCTCCAGGACAAAGACAAATCGCCATCTTAAGTAAAATACCAGAAAACACACAAAAATACATAATTCCACAACTACCGAACATTTTGCATTTGTATCACATATCCCCAGATAGCCTGCATCTTATTAGTGAATAGCGCTCAGATCCCATACGCATAGTTCATTCGCCATGGAGTCAAAGTTCTTACAGTCTTTCGGTATACGAATGACTCCATGGGAAGGGTTCAGTCTCTGCATATAATTCAAAACTCCCGAACGGCCGGTGTTCGCATGCTTTCGGCGACTGAGCAGGGTGACCCGTTGTTTCAGCGGTGTTCGGCAAAAAAAGTGGTCTTTCGTGTGATCTAAAATGGCCGCTGCCTCGTGGTCGACATGCGAACGACGACCACCCTGTATTCGTTTTAATTGAGATCAATTTTCGCACCGGGGCCCTATGGGTCGTGTGTACGCCACTGCCACTGCTGCTTCATTTATAAAACCAACGTGCTAACACTGGTACCTACTAGTACTGAAAATCTAAATCCTTTCTAAATTCTGATCGATTTAAAATGCAATGTTTATTTTCTACACAATAGAAAGATGATGTTTTGGAATTTCTATATTACATTTACCTTCTTGGTATCTGATTTTGCCTAGTCAAGAAAGGGGCAGAAATTGGCACTTAATTATTTTCCCTATTGTGTCTGACACCCAGGTTGTTTAGAAGGAAATTATGTAAAATGTTTGTAATGTATATTTCATTATTTTTCAAGATAAGTGTAGCGGCGCTCCAATGCCACGAATAGGTATCTCTGCTGTTTCTTCCTCGGATTATTAAAGTGCTTCTTTCAGCTTCAAGACCTTTCCCCCAGCAACTACACAACACATAGTTCTGAGAGTCCACTGAGCTTTATTTGGCCATACATGGCTTTTATGCACGGACCCCTAGCATTGGGTCTACATAGCCACAGGTTTCTTCCCAAGAGTCTCTATTTCTGAGAGATAATTGAGTCCAAAATAAGAACTCAATTATCTCTCAGTTACAGGAACTAACACAAAATATCTCGAATCACCCCAAAGTACACAATAATAAATCCCACACAAGTATACGGAATAGCTTGAGTCTGAGCGTCTACTTTGTCGAAATAGTGCTCAGATCCCTTTGGTAGTTTGGAATCGCCATTTTAATGAAGTTTTGACTGGTCGGCCATTAGGTGATGTCCCAAAATAGTTTCACAGAAAGCAAAGCAACGACCGGTCATCTTTCTGGGGTTCCCATACACATACAGGCGAATGCTCCTCCTGTTCGGTAGTTCATGTCTCCCGAACGCAATTCTCCTAACTGTTTGGGAAGTTGGATGGGCAGCAGTACAAGTTTCCCGGATGTTCGCGGGGTCGCGTATCCGACATACAGTTCCACACACTCGACGACCATGTACCGCTACCGGCGTTCAAGAGACAAAATGGCCGCCATTGCTGAAATTGTTACTTTTTCAAAATTGAAATGCACAGCATATAAGTACCACATGTTGGCAATTGTTCTGAAAGGTGAATGGTAATCGGCTCTTTAAAAATTATATTTGCCGATCCCTAGTAGGGTGGCTGTGTAAGTCACAGCCCGGGCAGGTGTGCTTAAAGATTCCCTTTATACCCTGCCTGCATGTTTTCAGAAGGAAAGAAAATGAGAAGGAAACACCATCACATGAATATAAGCGACAGCATTTTGTGAAACCCCATGTAGACTTGCACATGGTTGTAAGTTATCCTATTTTGTGTTTTAATAAATTATTCATTTGTAACATTTCACACAATAGTGTTTTCTTTCTATTTTCTCCGCATCTGATAGTCTGGGATTGAAGAAGGTTGTGATGAGAACTTAACAGCTCTCTTCCTGAACATATTCACATTAAAGGACCACTCTAGGCACCCAGACAACTTCAGTTTAATGAAGTGGTCTGGGTGCCAGGTCCTTCTAGGGTTAACCCATTCTTTTATAAACATAGCAGTTTCAGAGAAACTGCTATGTTTATGAATGGGTTAAGCCTTCCCCCAAAGCTCTCATTGACAGCCGCTAGAGGCGCTTGCGTGCTTCTCACTGTGATTTTCACAGTGAGAGCATGCAAGCGTCCATAGGAAAGCATTGATAATTGATAATGCGCGCGCATTCAGACGACTGGGAGGAACGGAGGAGGAGAGCTCCCCGCCCAGCACTGGAAAAAGGTAAGTTTTACCCCATTTCCCCTTTCCAGAGCCGGGCGGGAGGGGGTCCCTGAGGGTGGGGGCACCCTCAGGGCACTAAAGTGCCAGGAAAACAAGTGTTTTCCTGGCACTATAGTGGTCCTTTAACATAACTGATTATTTTTAGGTGCATTACTATTTTATGGTTAGTCTGGTAAGACGCAATACTAATGTAGAGCATGCACAGATCAGATTCTTATGACATCATTGAAGGTATATTTAATGGGACGTATTTACTTAATAGTCTGTGTAGTGGTTGTGCTATTTTTAATTGGGTAACATACTAGAAATATAATAGATATTGTGTTGATGTTTACATCTGTTCATTTCTATTGAGGCAGTTAAGAAATGTACAAAATAAATATGGATACTGTATTCTATTTTTTCACAGCTAATTGTAGAAAGGTTAAAGCAGCAAATAAACTTAACAAAAAGAGACAAGGAAAGAAAGTTGATGATTTGTCTCAGGTAGGATCAATTAGTACATTAAAAAGTACCATCAGTGCTTATGTATAACTTATCTAATAGCAGGTTCACTTTTCAAATACATTTATTAAAATGTAAAATGTAAAATTATAATGGTTGTCCCAAAAATGTTTACTACATACCTTTACTGAGTGTCTTATAGTTAGCACGTGATACTGGACTCCAGGGTTGATGGAATCTTCCCCATTTCTCATAGTTAGCTCATATTAATGTTTTGAAAATGTATGCTTCACTCCAGCTACTTTTTTATTTGCATCCTTATGTGGAAAAACAAATTCCCTAGACTAGTATGACATAATTTAAAGGCCAACTAGACCTCCCAAAACCCTGCAATTATTATCTCCTAGAGATGCTTTCTAGAAAACATGACTGATCTAGGGAAGGCTTGAAAAACAATGGCTTCCATTTAAACCTTCTCCTATCTTACCAAGAAATTACTCTTGCCTCCTACTGCAAGCCATGATATTGATTTATTACTCTCACTTTAAGTTTTACTAGACTACATGTAATGCCCACTCCACCACCCTATACCTATTACCCAATGTTAAGACACTCCTAGCTGAAAGGAGTGAAACCGACGTTTAGGTGATCTTCCCCCTTTGAGACACAAGCTCTGCTGCTGTGGACCGTCAAACTCTCGAACAGACAAAGAAACAGGCGAAATAATACTTCCAAGTAGCAATCCCCCCCAAACACAAGACCAAGCTCCGTCTTGACTGTTAATCAGGAATCTGCTTTAATGAGGGCTACCTGCCAAGTATTTATGCAGGTCTCCCACCTGGTGGACTCTCCCCTAGGGGACCAGATGGGAGACTGGGACAAATGAAGTACAGTGGCCAATCACAGTGGCTCAGGCATAAACACTCCCCTTTGTACAGATAAATCCCTCCTCTCCATCGTGGAGATAATTGGGAAAAAATCCAATTATCTCCAGGGATAGAGGCAAATCGCGATTTTACAAAATATAATAAAAAGACATAAAAATCAATAACTATAAAACTACCGAATGCTTCTAGTTCGTGTAACGTATCCCCAGATAGCCTGGGTCTGAAATGCTTTCCTATGGACTGTTTGAATGCGCACACGGCTCTTGCCGCGCATGTGCATTCCGCTCCACTTGGGAGCTGATGGCGGGGGAGGCGAGGTCACTGGCGCTGGATTAAAGTAAGTAACTGAAGGGGTTTTAACCCCTTCAGCGCCAAGGGAGGGGGGCCCTGAGAGTGGGGGGACCTAAGGGATAACCCTTACGGAAACTAGTGTGTCTTCCTGACGCTATAGTGATCCTTTAAAATACCTACTATATTCTAATGGTGGCCAAAGTTTAGCTTTAAGGCTGGCACAGCTTAATGGGAGTTGGTGTATAACAGCTGGAGAGCTATCTTGCATCCGTCTCTGAACCCGACAGGCTGTTTGGAGATTTACCCAGTGAGAATGAAGCTTCCACTTCACATTTTATCTTGCAGTCTCTCCCTGCAGCTCCTAGTACTTGATTTATTCAAATGGTCTTTGCTGAAATAAACTGCATCTTAGGCAATCTTTTATACATATATGTGTAATTAGTATGCCATAGCTATATGCTATATTAAAGCCGTGTTAAAGCCATTTAATGACACTTGAATAGCGTCCATAAAGGGTCAATATCTAAATATTATTACTATTATAGATATTGACCCTTTATGGACGCTATTTAAGTGTAATTTATTTTATCCATAAACATGGTCTTTCATTACATGTCGATATTTGGTTTAGCTTTTCAGTCTAACAGGGCTATTTACTAAATTGAGAATTCAAAGTGAATTTCCATTTCTAGGCCAAAGTAGCTGAAAGGGAAGCTGTCTTAGAGAATTTTTCCAATTCAGCTATTAAATCCTTAAATGTGAGATTCACTTCGATTCACCTTGAATTCTCACTTTAGTGAATAACCCTGGACATGTTCTTTTAAAATATCTATCTAGAGCAGGTTATGTTATGAATTAATTATTACAAAATGTTCAATGAGCATCAGCACTAAGAATCAGCAGTTGCTGAACTTGTTTGTTGTACTCTAATGAATTATTAATGACAGGTAGGACGTGCTATCTGGACGCAAAGTAATGGTGAGTGATGAATTGTAAATACACCTGTGTCATTGGTTTGCAGGATATGAGTACAGTATTGGTTAACAGAGGTTACAGGAGTGAACAGAACTCTCAAGCAATGCATTCTGGAAGAACGAAAAAAGATGAGCTAAAGGTGCCATTCGGTGACACCAAATCTCCACCCAAAACCCAACCGAAAATGGTTGCAAAGCCATCTCATAAGTACAGAAAAGGTAATTTAAAGGTGTGTCTGAATAAGCTGGAGAACCTCTATTTAGAAATAATTTCACATATGTATACGCTTATTCTATTCTATTTATTTTTTATCTGATTTTTTTGCACAGTTTGCATATCACTACTGCTATACCAAGGTAAACATCTTCTTAAACGCTTCTGTATTAATTTTATGTTTTTAGAAGTCCATACTCCATTCTATTGCAATTTTGTATCATTTCCAATATAATTACCTCCACCACAGAGTACCAGGGGATATGTTGGCTCCTACACCGGTTCCCTAGAAGTGCCACACTACTCTGTTCAATTCTGCATCGTTGAAATTTTTTTATAATGCAGAGAGTACCTTGTTCCCTGTCTCAGTGGACACAGCCACTTATAAATGTAGCTAAAGGACTGTCTCCTGGAGCAGTGATGTCAAAGAAGGAACTTTACTTTATCCTTTGCAGTCCAACTTGTGCACACCACTTGAATTGACATCTTTCTACTCCCTTCTTTTTTTTTTATACAGAGAGTCTGAGCCATACATTCAGGGCTGTGAATTAATTGATAGCAGCCATAGTATCACTGCTTATTGATGTGTTCCACATATGTTATGTAATTAGCAAAATTGTGGCAGAGATCTTAACTAAATATTCCTAAATATTCCATAAACACTTGGTGGACAGGAGTTAATGAGTAAAGGAAAAACTTAGCAGGCCAGAACAAAAGGCTACTGATTGGAATAGCTTTCTCCTTGTCAAAAAAGAGGTCTTCCAGCTGCAGCTTTAACCTTTTCAATGGCTAACCATCACCAACAATTGTTAAGCTCTTAATTACCATTGGCATCCATCAGGCTAGCATGCTAAGCAAGGGCGTCCGCAACACTTTCTAGAGGGGAGGGGGTGCAAAAATGTTATGACATCCATGCTTGACCCGCCCCTTTTTGACAATGTCATGAAGGCGAGGGGCAAAGTCATATCACATAAAGCACCGGCATTCAAAGGGTTGAGAGACCTGATGCAAAAGCTTAAAAGAAGAATCAAGTTGCCATCGTCTGATTTGAAGTTTGCAGTTTCTAATCTAACCGAATTATAAAAAAAAAAAAAGGAGAATGTGCATTTGGTGTTAACAAATGACAATTAAAATATGACGTGTTTTTTTTTGTTGGTTTTTTTTTTAAACGCATTAACAGATTTATTTTATATATTTATAAAACCTAGATGGCTGCACTCACCTGAACATTTATATATTATAAGGGTGCTGCTGGGGCCAATTCATACAACATACAAGATCCAGCGCACACTCACTTATTACCTAAATAGCAATTTCAAGGCTCACAGAATGTAATAGTTTTATTTAATAACCTCACCTAGGCAAAATGAATGGGAGTTTAGTTACATTATATGATCATATATTGCATTAGCCTGCCACAACGTCAATGTAGCCCATTCTTGACAGGTCCTACTCTAGCAATCTAATACCTGCTCTTATGAGATTAATCCACTTACTTGGGAAATGCTACCTCATGTTTGCCTATTTGAGGTGTTTTTAAATAAAACCATTACATTCTGTGAGCCTTAAAATAGCTGTTTAGTGAATGAGCAAATTCGCTGCCAGCCCTCTTGGATATATATATATATATATGCTGCTCAAAAAAATAAAGGGAACACTAAAATAACACATCCTAGATCAGAATGAATTAAATATTCTTCTGAAATACTTTGTTCTTTACATAGTTGAATGTTCTGACAACAAAATCAAACAAAAATAAAAAAAATGGAAATCAAATTTTTCAACCCATGGAAGTCTGGATTTGGAGTCACACTCAAAATTAAAGTGGAAACCCACACTACAGGCTGATCCAACTTTGAGGTAATGTCCTTAAAACAAGTCAAAATGAGGCTCAGTAGTGTGTGTGGCCTCCACGTGCCTGTATGACCTCCCTACAACGCCTGTGCATGCTCCTGATGAGGTGGCGGATGGTCTCCTGAGGGATCTCCTCCCAGACCTGGACTAAAGCATCTGCCAGCTCCTGGACAGTCTGTAGTGCTACGTAAAATTGGTGGATGGAGCGAGATATGATGTCCCAGATGTGCTCAATTGGATGCAGGTCTGGGGAACGGGCGGGCCAGTCCGTAGCATCAATGCCTTCGTCTTGTCTCAACTGCTGACACACTCCAGCCACATGAGGTCTAGCATTGTCTTGCATTAGGAGGAACCCAGGGCCAACTGCACCAGCATATTGTCTCACAAGGGGTCTGAGGATCTCATCTCGGTAACTAATGGCAGTCAGGCTACCTCTGGCGAGCACATGGAGGGCTATACGGCCCCCTAAAGAAATGTCACCCCACACCATTACTGACCCACTGCCAAACCGGTCATGCTGGAGAATGTTGCAGGCAGCAGAACGTTCTCCATGGTGTCTCCAAACTCTGTCATGTCTGTCACATATGCTCAGAGTGAACCTGCTTTCATCTGTGAAGAGCACAGGGCGCCAGGTGCGAATTTGCCTGTTCTTGGTGTTCTCTGGCAAATGCCAAACGTCCTGCACGGTGTTGGGCTGTAAGCACAACCCCCACCTGTAAACGTCGGGCCCTCATGGAGTCTGTTTCTGACTGTTTGAGCAGACACATGCACATTTGTGGCCTGCTGGAGGTCAGTTTGCAGGGCTCTGGCAGTGCTCCTCCTGTTCCTCCTTGCACAAAGGCGGAGGTAGCGGTCCTGCTGCTGGGTTGTTGCCCTCCTCCGGCCTCCTCCACGTCTCCTGATGTACTGGCCTGTCTCCTGGTAGAACCCTCCATGCTCTGGACACTACGCTGACAGACACCGCAAACCTCCTTGCCACAGCTTGCATTGATGTGCCATCCTGAATGAGCTGCATTACCTGAGCCACTTGTGTGGGTTGTAGACTCCGTCTCATGCTACCACTAGAGTGAAAGCACCGCCAGCATTCAAAAGTGACCAAAACATCAGCCAGAAAGCATAGTAACTAAGAAGTGGTCTGTGGTCACCACCTGCAGAACCACTCAGTTATTGGGGATGTCTTGCTAATTGCCTATAATTTCCACCTGTTGTCTAATCCATTTGCACAACAGCATGTGAAATTGATTCACTCAGTGTTGCTTCCTAAGTGGACAGTTTAATTTCACATAAGTGTGATTGACTTTGTGTTACATTGTGTTGTTTAAGTGTTCCCTTTATTTTTTTTGAGCAGTGTACATACAGGGAGTGCAGAATTATTAGGCAAATGAGTATTTTGACCACATCATCCTCTTTATGCATGTTGTCTTACTCCAAGCTGTATAGGCTCGAAAGCCTACTACCAATTAAGCATATTAGGTGATGTGCATCTCTGTAATGAGAAGGGGTGTGGTCTAATGACATCAACACCCTATATCACGTGTGCATAATTATTAGGCAACTTCCTTTCCTTTGGCAAAATGGGTCAAAAGAAGGACTTGACAGGCTCAGAAAAGTCAAAAATAGTGAGATATCTTGCAGAGGGATGCAGCACTCTTAAAATTGCAAAGCTTCTGAAGCGTGATCATCGAACAATCAAGCGTTTCATTCAAAATAGTCAACAGGGTCGCAAGAAGCGTGTGGAAAAACCAAGGCGCAAAATAACTGCCCATGAACTGAGAAAAGTCAAGCGTGCAGCTGCCACGATGCCACTTGCCACCAGTTTGGCCATATTTCAGAGCTGCAACATCACTGGAGTGCCCAAAAGCACAAGGTGTGCAATACTCAGAGACATGGCCAAGGTAAGAAAGGCTGAAAGACGACCACCACTGAACAAGACACACAAGCTGAAACGTCAAGACTGGGCCAAGAAATATCTCAAGACTGATTTTTCTAAGGTTTTATGGACTGATGAAATGAGAGTGAGTCTTGATGGGCCAGATGGATGGGCCCGTGGCTGGATTGGTAAAGGGCAGAGAGCTCCAGTCCGACTCAGACGCCAGCAAGGTGGAGGTGGAGTACTGGTTTGGGCTGGTATCATCAAAGATGAGCTTGTGGGGCCTTTTCGGGTTGAGGATGGAGTCAAGCTCAACTCCCAGTCCTACTGCCAGTTCCTGGAAGACACCTTCTTCAAGCAGTGGTACAGGAAGAAGTCTGCATCCTTCAAGAAAAACATGATTTTCATGCAGGACAATGCTCCATCACACGCGTCCAAGTACTCCACAGCGTGGCTGGCAAGAAAGGGTATAAAAGAAGAAAATCTAATGACATGGCCTCCTTGTTCACCTGATCTGAACTCCATTGAGAACCTGTGGTCCATCATCAAATGTGAGATTTACAAGGAGGGAAAACAGTACACCTCTCTGAACAGTGTCTGGGAGGCTGTGGTTGCTGCTGCACGCAATGTTGATGGTGAACAGATCAAAACACTGACAGAATCCATGGATGGCAGGCTTTTGAATGTCCTTGCAAAGAAAGGTGGCTATATTGGTCACTGATTTGTTTTTGTTTTGTTTTTGAATGTCAGAAATGTATATTTGTGAATGTTGAGATGTTATATTGGTTTCACTGGTAATAATAAATAATTGAAATGGGTATATATTTGTTTTTTGTTAAGTTGCCTAATAATTATGCACAGTAATAGTCACCTGCACACACAGATATCCCCCTAACATAGCTAAAACTAAAAACAAACTAAAAACTACTTCCAAAAATATTCAGCTTTGATATTAATGAGTTTTTTGGGTTCATTGAGAACATGGTTGTTGTTCAATAATAAAATTAATCCTCAAAAATACAACTTGCCTAATAATTCTGCACTCCCTGTATATTGCACTTTTTACAGCACCAGATTGCATCCACAAGGCCAGATTTTATTTTCCACACCACCAGATTGTTTACAAAGCTATTGCCACAGCAGTAGGAGACACATACATTGCCACAGGCACACAACACCAAATTGCACCCACAACACTTTCCACAGGAATAGTCTAATTGCTGTGGTATGCAAGTGGGGTCTCTCTAACAGCCAGGGCGGAATTTTCCTCTGCTCTGCTGGGCCCCACCTCCCCTCCTGTATAAGCAGTGCAAGGCAGAGAGCGGCGCGGTCAGTGGACCTCGCGTCAGGCTGTGGCGACCAGTAGAGAATTTGGGGTGTAACACCATGTCTGGCATCCCCACCCTCCCCGCGTACATCCATAATACCAAGACCATGAAAAATTTAAATTTCATCTGATTCTACTTTTTAGAAAACTGATCTAATCCTACATAAGATTTATTTCCATTAAACTCTTTAGAAACAGATTCTCCTCTAAAATATTTTATAATAAAGAGTAACTTTAGCAAGAAGACAGGGACTGGTGGATAGAGACATTTGAGAGATATCCTACATGTAATGGCAATCTATCAAACTATTGTTTACATACCTTTCAGAATTACATAATTCTATCCAGTTGTGTATTCAACAATAACGTAAATAACTCAGAAGATTTCAATAAAAGTCTTTGCAGACTCATTTGCAAAATATATTTTTTCCTTATTTAGTTTCCAAAGCGGTTTCAGAGAATCAAGGAGTTGACAAACCGTGCAGCAGTACATATTCTTTAAGAAGTAAAGCAAGAAAATTATATATAGAAATAGAGGAACCACAGGACGATGACTATTTGTGTATGTCTTCTTTTAGTTACTCTTTGTGTGATTTTATCAATGTGATTTACAAGTCTCTTATAATGAGAGTGATTATTTGGGTCTGCAGGTATTAGCCCTAAGAGCAACCTTGCATCTTGAGAATATGTGGATAGTTGTACAAATTAGTCTTCATAATATTAACACAACTTGGGGGTGTCAACTGAGCAGTGAATTGACAAGGGAATTGCAATTTTTAGTTCAAAACAGAAAACATTTCCAACCAATTTATATTTTGCAGCACTGTTGTTATGGCCCGTACTTTACAATTCTCTAAATTCTGCACAAGATCAAGTGTAGTAAATGACCCCACACTGAGCTTTGAAATGCCCGTAATTGACTTTGTAAGAATTCCACCAATTATATTGACTTAGGTCCCTACTGTGCCTTCTGTGGTTTATTAGGAACAACTGTCCTTATACTTAAATGCTGACTTCTAGATAATTACTATTTCCCCAAACTTTGAAATTTCCCTTCGTATGGACCGTGTCAGACAGATATATTAATCTATGACCGGAATCCACAAATCAAGAAAAACTATAAATATCTTAAACTCTAATAAAAATGCATTTACATTTAATTTATGGGTTTGGTAATGGGTGCAATTTGTTTAAGTTACTGTTAGGATTTCTCTGTTCTATTTTTCCTTCAGTTAAGCTGGTGAACCTTTTTTCAATATGTATTTTTTATCATTTAAATATAGGTAACCCCTTAACCTGCAGAGAGAGTTAATTTCTCCAAAACATATATCTCAAGTCATACACACCTCGACAAAGCATTATGGTCTACTTGTCTTTTATAGGAATGTTGGGTATGATTTGCCTTATGCTCTGTGATTGGCAATCCATGACATACAAATTGCATAAATACCAATGCTACAGTTGTTTATCAATAATGGATACAGTGTGTTAGAGAAACTAATTCTAGCCTCATTGTACTCCTAGTTTGTGAAGAATGTCAGTCTTTTTTCATCAAGAAATGTCCAGTTCATGGAGCCCCATCTTTCATTCAAGATTCTGCAGTTGAATTAGGAAAGGAAAACCGAGCTGCACTTACACTACCGCCTGCAATGACAATCAAACTCTCCAGCATTCCACGTGCAGGACTTGGAGTCTGGAATCAGGCCACAATTCTTCCAAAAGGAACCCATTTTGGACCTTATGAAGGAGTCATAACTGAAGAGGATACAGCAACCACAAGTGGCTACTCTTGGCAGGTGGAAAGCTCAATTTGTAGAATTCTTAGTATGTTTAAAAACAAGTAGAGGAAGATTATATAAAGTACTAAGAGTAACGCAATCACTATGGAAACCAGTAAAGTACATGTTAGAGGGTTAATACCACCAAATGGTAAATGTTATTTATTAAACACTGCTTTTCAGTTTTACATCATGTAATATTTGTATATATGATTTGCATATCCCTTGTGTAAAGTTAGTGGGGACCGTGTAGGTTGAGACCCATTAATAACTAGATACAAGACAAACAGGCCACAGCTTTATTTAATAACAATAAATATCATTAACTCAACACATTAATATAATATACAGCAAACTTTCCCAACTGGATCCTTGCCAACCATTCCTAATATTAACATGGACACGTGTTCTCCCCCCTCGTCCGAACAAAAAACTGGCTGTGACAAACTCCCCCTTTCCAGTGAGTCTGCCACGAGTTCCTGGAGGAGCCTGCTTGCCAGCCTCCTGCCAACAGATTATGGACCCTGTGAAATATAATGTAAAAGTCTCCGTTCATCTATTTGAACTATATGGTTCGGAAACCGAACAGCCGCACGAACCGAAGACCACCCTGGAGCTTGTTAAGCCTCATTGATACTTTGTAACAATTCCCACCGCAGTGTTTTAAGTGTTCGTCTGGGTCGCCACAATTCCTATGGACGACCACAAGGTGGTGGCCATCTTGTTCGCATGAATGCAGGCAGTGATGTTTGGGCATGAATCTCATGGAACTAAAATCGGACACAGAAACTCCTGAACACCGCTGGACTTCCATTATCGCCTGAGTTCGGTTCTACACAAGTTAGAAGGGCACTGTTCAGTGGAATCATTCGTCTGAACAAGGGAAACTAGCTCCAGGGTAAGACCATTGACTAAGTTCGGTAGTTTGTTCGTTTTAAAACTACCGAACTAGACCGACCGCTAGCCCTGATTCTTTGGAACTGTTTTGGGCATGGGACCATAGTTACATAGTTACATAGCTGAAAAGAGACTTGCGTCCATCAAGTTCAGCCTACCTCACATTTGTTATTTGCTGTTGATCCAAAAAAAGGCAAAAAAACCCAGTTTGAAGCACAATTTTGCAACAAGCTAGGAAAAAAATTCCTTCTTGACCCCAGAATGGCAGTCAGATTTATCCTTGGATCAAGCAGTTATTACCCTACATTGAAAGATTATATCCTTGAATATTCTGTTCTTGCAAGTATGCATCTAGAGAATTCCACATCCTGATTGTTCTTACAGTAAAAAAACCTTTCCTTTGCCTTAGACGAAATCTTCTTTCTTCCAGTCTAAACTCATGACCTCGTGTCCTATGTAAAGTCCGGTTTGTAAATAGATTTCCACACAATGGTTTGTATTGGCCCCGAATATATTTGTATAATGTTATCATATCCCCTCTCAGGCGACGTTTTTCTAAACTAAATAGGTTTAAATTTGTTAACCTTTCTTCATAGCCGATATGTTCCATTCCTTTTATTAATTTTGTAGCCCGCCTCTGCACTTTTTCTAGTGCCATAATATCCTTCTTTAGAACAGGTGCCCAAAATTGCACAGCATATTCAATATGGGGTCTTACCAGTGATTTATAAAGAGGCAAAATTATATTCTTGTCCCGAGAATGAATGCCCTTTTTCATGCATGACAATACCTTACTGGCCTTGGCCACTGCTGATTGACATTGCACATTGTTGCATAGTTTGTTGTCTATAACAATTCCCAAGTCCTTTTCATGTGTTGTTATCCCTAATTCGCTTCCATTAAGGGTATACGTTGCTTGTGTATTCTTTACGCCGAAGTGCATAACTTTGCATTTTTCAACATTAAATTTCATCTGCCATTTGAGTGCCCAGTCCCCCAGTCTATCTAAATCCCTCTGCAGCAAAGTAATATCTTGCTCACATTGTATTGTTTTACAAAGTTTTGTGTCATCTGCAAACACTGAAACATGACTTTCAATGCGGTCTTCAAGATCATTTATAAACATGTTAAATAGAAGGGGTCCCAGAACAGACCCCTGAGGGACACCACTTGCCACCTCTGTCCAGCTTGAAAATTTACCATTAATGACAACTCTTTGTACTCTGTTTTTAAGCCAATGTTCTACCCAAGAACAAGCATTTTCATCTAGACCGATTTCCTTGAGTTTGAACACTAATCTATTGTGTGGAACTGTATCAAATGCCTTGGCAAAATCCAAATAGATCACATCCACGGCAACACCCTGATCTATACTTCTACTTACTTCTTCGTAGAACGCAATCAAGTTAGTTTGACATGACCTGTGCTTCATAAAACCATGCTGATTTTTGCTGATAACCATGTTCTTCTCAAGGAATTCTTGAATATTATCCCTTAATAACCTTTCAAATATTTTACCAGCCACAGAAGTTAAGCTCACAGGTCTATAATTTCCAGGCAAGGATTTTGAACCCTTTTTGAATATAGGAACCACATCTGCCTTCCTCCAATCCTCCGGAACACTTCCTGAAAGAAAAGAATCTTGAAAGATTAAAAACAGAGGTTCACTTATTTCTGCACTTAGTTCCTTAAGTACACGTGGATGGATACCGTCAGGCCCTGGAGCTTTGTTTATATTAACTTTCTTTAGTTGCTGCAGCACCTTGTCTTGAGTTAACCAATTACAATTATTCTGCAAGTTTTTAGTAGCAATCATTTGCACATCTATTGCCATGGGTTCTTCCTTAATATATACGGAGGAGAAATAGTTATTTAAAATTCCTGCCTTTTCCTGGTCTTCATTAATTAACACCCCCGTTTCAGTTTTTAGTGTACCTACACTTTCATTTTTGGGTTTTTTAGAATTTATGTACTTAAAAAATGCTTTGGGGTTGGTTTTGCTCTCTTCAGCAATCATTATTTCATTTTGAAGTTTAGCAAGTCTAATTGCCTTTTTGCACGCATTATTTGCATCCTTATATCTTTTATAAGATGCATCTGATTTGTCCGATTTAAATGCTTTAAATGCCCTTCTCTTAGTTGTAATCTCTTGTTTTACTTCTCTACTAAGCCACATTGGTTTTAATTTGTTTCTTTTATATTTATTTCCCAACGGTACATACTGAGAAATGTACCTTTGTAATATTTGTTGGAAGATGATCCATTTATCCTCAGTGTTCTTTTCACTAAAGAGTTTATGCCAGTCAATATATTGTAAAGCTTCCCTTAACTTATTGAAATTGGCCTTTTTAAAATTATATGTTTTAGTATTCCCCATGTGCTTTTGTTTTGAGTTTATTTCAAAGGACACTATATTGTGATCACTATTTCCCAAGTGCTCACCTACTTGAATGTTGGTCAAAAGATCAACGTTGTTTGTTAAAACCAGGTCCAGACAAGCATCCATTCTAGTTGGTGCTTGCACAAGTTGTGACATGAAGGTGTCATTTAACAAGTTTAAAAACCTAATTCCCTTTGCTGAGGCACTAGTCCCTCTGTCCCAATTTATATCCGGGTAATTAAAATCTCCAATAATTAAAGTGTTACCCAGATTTGCAGCTTTCTCAATTTGCTCAAACAGCTGTTGTTCCTCGTCAATATTAACATTAGGTGGTTTATAACATATCCCAACCAATAGTTTGTTTCCCTTCTTTTCCCCCAAGCAGATATTTACCCATAAAGCTTCCACATTATCCTCCTCGCATTCCATTTGCTTAACATTTGGCTTTAAATCATGTTTGACATACAAACATACCCCACCACCCTTCTTGTTTTTCCTATCCTTCCTAAATAACATGTACCCATTTAAGTTAGCTGCCCAGTCATGTGTCTCATCCCACCATGTTTCAGTTATGCCTATTATATCATATTGTTTAGTGTATGCTAATACCTCTAGTTCCCCCATTTTGTTATTTAGGCTCCTTGCATTAGTAAGCATACATTTAATATTATGCGTCACTTGTATATTTTGTGAATTTTCAACATTACACAGCTTCTCTGTTCTGAGCTTGCCCCTCCCCCCGTTTCCACCCCCCTTATACTGTGCTAAAGCGCATCTCATTTCTATCCTATCTCCATTTTGTAGATTGCTATGACCCTCCCCCCCTACTACTAGTTTAAAATCTCCTCCAACCTTCTAGCCATCCTATCCCCCAGCACTGCAGACCCTCTCCCGTTTAGGTGCAATCCATCACCACTATAAAGGTTGTACCCAATCGCAAAGTCGGCCCAGTGCTCTAAAAACCCAAAACCCTCCTTCCTGCACCAAGACTTAAGCCACGCATTGACCTCTCTAATCTCCCGCTGCCTTTCCACTGTAGCGCGTGGCACAGGTAATATCTCAGAGAATACCACCTTGGAGGTCCTTTTCTTAAGTTTGCTACCTAATTCCCTGAAATCATTCTTTAGGACCTTCCATCTTCCTCTTACTTTGTCATTGGTACCAACATGGACCATGACCGCTGGGTCATCCCCAGCCCCTCCCAATAATCCATCCACTCTGTCAGCAACATGCCGGACCCGAGCACCCGGGAGACAGCAAACTGTCCGGTTGAGCCGATCAGAGCGGCAGATTGCCCTATCTGCTCTCCTAATGATAGAGTCCCCTACCACCACAACCTGTCTTGCCTTCCTTACATTTTGATCCCCACCCGTACTAGGGGGGCTGTTAGCTCGGCTGTTAGAAGTAACAGCTTCCTCTAATACAGCTACTCCTGAGCTGATGCTCCCAACATCTTCCCTCAAACGGGCAAATCTGCTAGGTTGCACCAAATCAGGACTAGCTAGCCCTTTCCTCTTCCCTCCCCCCCTGCTTCCTCGCCCCACTGTCACCCAGCTACATGCCTGTTCCCCATCTGTCATATCTCCTCCCTCTCCGCTACCTGTCCCCACTAAACTCTGCTCAGTGAGCAGTAGACTCCTCTCAAGATTGTCAATCTCCCTCAATGTTGCAATTTGCTTCTCGAGATCTCCAATCTGAGCTTCCAGAGAAGCCACTCGCACACAACCATCACAGAGGTATGGACCCTGGACGGGTACATCCAGGCAGCCATACATGCAACAAGATGTGCATTGAGTTAAACCAGCAATCTTGCTAACACTCATATCCCCTTTAAACACAAAAAAACATTTACCTTGATAGTTTAAACCCCTTGTTAGTTTGAACTCCTGGTTTTCTAACTCCTACTTGAAAGAGTCTACTTAACAGAGGCTGCTTTCAAGTAATGTGAGCAAGCTCAGTGAGTTAGGGGTGTGCCTTTATGGGGATACAAATCCCACACAGGTGCAAACAATGAACACTCCCCCAATCAATCAAGCAGCAGCACAAAAAAAGGGGGGAAAACCAGAACACAGAGAAAAAAAAAGAAAATGTAAAAAACAACATTTTTTTTTTTTTTTTTAAAACCTTACCAACTTTAAAGATTAAACAAAAATAAAATGCAAACCACTCTCCACAGTATACAAACCACTCCAAGTAACTCCTGGTTTTCTAACTCCTACTTGAAAGAGTCTACTTAACAGAGGCTGCTTTCAAGTAATGCGGGCGGGCAGTCAAACAAATGACTTCCAGGAAATTCCTGAACCCCGGAACTGATCTTGGTGAATTTGAATATGTTGGTCACCCAGATCAGGGCTATCAGGGGATGGCACTTTGTGGGGTTTTATCTATTTTTAGGTCTCTTTTGGGGTGTTTTGGAAAAATAGTTTTTTTTCTGTACTTGAAGATAATTGGATTAGATTAGTACAGTTCCTGATCCAATTATCTCCCAGGTACAGAGGAGGGATTAACTGATTTTGTATGGGAGTGTCCTGAACCCGAGAGCCAATGTAATTGTGTATTTGTTCCTACTGTGGTATACTCTCAGGTCCAGGGGGGGAGTGCCCCTTGCATGGGGACATCCATTAAAGCATTCCAGCTCGCACTCCAAAACTGTGTCACCCTGTTATTGGAGGGAAGGAAGATTTAACCCCGATGTCTGCTGTTCCAGTGCCTGGGTGTTTCTAGAGCAAATTCCCCATTGGCTCCAGAAAGGAGCGGTTCCAGGGCCCCAGTCAAGCCAAGGCAACTGTGGGCAGAAGTGCTGCGGTTTGTTCCCTGTTCCAGCTAGGAAGCGGTCCTTGGCGGAGGTACCCAGCCGGGGTACAGGGAGCTCCATCACATTGGTTGGCAGCGGTGGGATGGCTTCATAGCCTTGGGAAAACCAGCACTACTGCAGTATGGAAGGCAAATACTGCCGAGCAGTATCCGGCTTCGACGCCAGACTTCAGCAGCGACTAAAGGATGTGCTGTGCAGTATGAAGTACTCTATCCCAGAGGATAGAGAGACAGAGTGGAGGGTGGAGCTTCAAACCAATCTCTGGAAAGAGGACCTCGACGAAATTCGACCCTTCCGGAGTCACTGGCGGATCCGGGGGGGCACCGGGGCAATTGTCCCCCCCGAGAATCCAAGGTTCTCCCTCACCCCTGCCGGCTAATGCAGGGCTGATGCTGTCCAACTGCAATGTGCCTTCATGGACCGGAGGGGAGATCAGAGATCCTCCGGTCCGCAGGCACTGTTTGCTGGCCGCCGGCAGAGGAGGGAGAGAGAGAGGACCCGGAGGAGCTCAGTCTGCAGCTCCTCCAGGTCCTTCTCTCGTGAGCACGGAGCGTTGCCACGGCAACGCTCCGGATCTCGCGAGAGTGAACTCTAGCCCTGGAGACCGGGGCTAGAGTTCACTCTAACCACGTGGACCAACAGGGATTCCCCACCAAACCACCAGGGATCGAGAAATGTCTCCCTCCTCCCTAAACAAGGTAAGAAGGGAGGGGGGATATTATGTATATTTTAAATAAAAAAATAATAATCATTTTATAAAATAAAAAAAATAAAATTAAAAAAAAGCCCCCCATCCTTATCACACACATACCCTACACACACACATACACTGCCCCCCCTCACACACACACACATACATTGCCCCCCACACACACACACGCTAGTTAAGACTGAAGTGTGGCTGGATGATTCATACGGGGCCCTGCGGTGGCATGCCTATCACCTCTACCCTTGGCTGAGGTGGGGGAGACTATGATGGCCATGGTTTGTTGTGGGAGGCTTTTGAAACTAGTCTCTGGTTCAGAGAAACAGACAGTGCTCGCTTCTGGTCTATCTGAGCGGGTAGACAACCTGTCCTATCTGGCTAACTTGGAGTGGGAGCTCGAGCAGGACTATGCTTGCCTATTTAGCCGGGTAACACCACCTGTCTCTGACATGATGCGGCTTACGGACTGTATACCACCGGGAGCGTTGAGTTTCGTCCCTCCTCCTCAGCAACTAAGCCTGTCATCAGGAGACCTGTACCACCTACTTCCCAACCAGCCCCAGAGATAGAAGACCTTATCTACTGGTCCTGGGAAGACCCCCAGTTGGTAGGTAGCGATGGGACCCAGCCGGCCCAGATCTCCAACCCCAGGGGCAGATGTTAGATGTTGCAGCTATTGGTCCACAAGCTTATATAAATCAATATGTACCACTGTTTGCTTTATTTATAATATATATAGTATTCATGTTTGCTGATTGGAGGACAGCCTATGATGTAATTTTGGCGCAATTTCAAACTACTTTTCCCCTATGTAAACTCCTACTAACCAGGTTATGTTTTTATACCATTTGAAAAAGCCTATATCGGTGAAACGCGTTATGGTTATTTTTAGTTGTGTATTTTATGTCAATAAACATTTTTTGGTTACTTTGCTGTGCCAAATCTTCTTTTTATTGTATTTTTATGCACTTTTTTATTATTTTTACTTTTCCTGGCATTTTATCATTCCTGTATGCAAAGAAATCCGAGGTCGGGATCATACCACCAACTCTTTACCAATAGAGCAGTGCTACTGCTCTATGCTTGTGAGTATTATTTTATTTAGTTTTGCTCATATTTTTTATCATATTGAGAGCACTATTGTTGCCTTTTCTATTCCGGTTTGGAGCCTTGGATGACCAGACGGTGTTGATAGACGGACTCTCTTCATATATCCCATAAGCGGGGATTATACCGCTGTACGCCCTTTATTCCAGAGCTGGCCATAGCTCTTTTAAATGTGAGTTTTCTACCTCCTTCTATTTTTGCACTTTGTGTTTTAGACTTATTGCACTATTGGTTGCCTCTGTGTAACGCACCGTTTTGCACACGAGGTTAAAAACCGTGTAGGCGATATTCCCCTTTCAGATGCACAGGCAGCTACTATAAGCACCAATCTCCCGAACTCCAAACACACGAATACTCCAACTCCTGAACACGAAACACACGAACACTGGAAACATCCAAACAGGAAAAGCATACAATTGGCTTACACTCCTGGCAATCAGCTTACAGTCCAATTCCCCCAATAATGAGACGACACTTCATTTTGAGGGTTAAGCAGAATCTCAGTTTACTGGGGCTACCTGCCCGGCTTTTATGCAGGTCTCCCACCTGGTGGACACTCCCCTAGGGGACCAGATGGAAGACTGGGACACAAAGGGTAAAACTGACCAATTACAGTGTAAAAACATTCCCACAATAAATTGTAATCCCTCCTCTTTATCCTAGAGATAATTGGAAAGTAATCTAATTATCTCCAAGGACAGAGGCAAGACTCCATTAACCACATGGCAGACCAAGGACGGTAAAAAAAATTAAAATATACAATGTTACATTTATTACATTAAATACCCCCATATAACATATCCCCAGATAGCTTAGATCTATTCTATTACCGAATGGTGCTCAGATCTCACACATACAGTTCAGTTGCTATGGAGCCAAAGTCTCTTATTACACGAATAGGCTCCAGGGCACAGCTTTCTGGGTTAAAGCCTTCACATAGTTAGGCTAAACGACCGGAGCTAGAAGCAGTGAAGACTGGCGGCTCAGCGCTGTTCGCTAGTATAAGTGTCCGTTTTTAGTTTCATGAATTTGTGACTGAACACCGCTGGCAGAATGCTGCCCCACTGTGTTAGTTATGCGCTACCGCGACCACCCAGTAACAATCAATTAAGCTGCGGTTAACTGCAGCTACTGCGTGGTCAATTGACGGCACATGCCACTTCTGGGAGGCGAATTGAAGACATCCGAAAGTCCCTGGTGGTCGGCCGTTCGTTAGTTTGTTCGGTAGATTGAATCTACTGAACGCCCCAGGCTGAAAAGCACGAATAAGCCTTCCTGCAGGGAAAATAGTGTTTTTAAATGCCGGTCCATAGTGTAAGGGGAGCAGGCGGGCAACCAGGCTCCTCCAATGCACAGTGTCGATGTTGGTTCTGCCACATTTCTCCACTTTACCAATCAGACTAACCAGGTATCTGAGTTCCTGTCGGTCAGTGCCCTGGTTAGTCCAGCAACCCACCCACAGAACACAATCAGCAGTACAGCCCACCCACAATAAAGGTTTACTACACCTGGAAAAATGAATAGCTTGCCTTTGTCCAGGTGCTTCACCACTGCTGTGTGGGCAGAGATCACTATTCCGGGTCGGTGGGTTGCTGAGTGGGCAGGGACCAGCGGTACTCTGCCCTGGTGCCAGTGCTATAATAAGAGTAGCCTGGTTGGAGCCCCGCTGAGGAGAAGGGGTACTAGGCTGCCCTCTCTGGATCTGGTGCTGCTGCTGGAGGGGGAGACCGACTGTCTCCCCTTTTCGCAACCAGCCCTGCTGCTGGGGGACAGGACCGACCGTCCCTACCCCCTGTGGTTTGGGCACAGAGTCCCATCTGCACTGGTGTGGGGCTTGGTGGGCTAGGCTGCCGCTGGGGAGAGGGGGTAACAAGCTCCTCTCCCTTACATACTTTCAGCCGCTGGGGAGCTCCTCTCCCTGACACTCTTTCTGCTGGTGGAGAGAGGAAACGACTGTCTTTAGCTCCCTGGTACTCACACTACCGCTGGGGTCTCTATAGCTGTTCCTCTGGGCTGTGGGAATGATCCCGCCGCTTGCCACCAATTGTAACGGACCGTTTTGCACACAAGGTTAAAAACCGTTTAGAAGATATTCCCCTTTCAGATGCACAGGCAGCTACTGCAAGCACCAGTCTCCCGGACTCCAAACTCATGAATACTCCAACTCCCGAACACGAAACACACGAACACTGGAAACAGCTGAACAGGAAAAGCATACAATCGGCTTACACTCCTGGCAATCGGCATACAATCCAATTCCCCCAATAACGAGACGACCCTTCGTTTTGGGATTAAGCAGAATCTCAGTTTACTGGGGCTACCTGCCCGGCTTTTATGCAGGTCTCCCACCTGGTGGGCACTCCCCTAGGGGACCAGATGGAAGACTGGGATACAGGACAGACACTGACCAATTACAGACATACAGTGTAAAAACATTCCCACAATACATTGTAATCCCTCCTCTCTATCCTGGAGATAATTGGGAAGTAATCCAATTATCTCCAAGGACAGAGGCAAGACTCCATTAACCACATGGCAGACCAAGAACGGTAAAAAGACATTAAAATATACAATGTTACATTTATTACATTAAATGCCCACATGTAACATATCCCCAGATAGCTTAGATCTGAGCGCACATTATTACCGAATGGTGCTCAGATCTCACACATACAGTTCAATTGCCATGGAGCCAATTACACGAATAGGCTCCATGGCACAGCTTTCTGGGTTAAAGCCTTCACATAGTTAAAGTCCCGATTGATCCGGCGTTCGGCTAAACGACCGGAGCTAGAAGCAGTGAAGACTGGAGGCTCAGCGCTGTTCGCGAGTATAAGTGTCCGTTTTTAGTTTCATGAATTTGTGACTGAACACCGCTGGCCGAACAGAATGCTGCCACCCTGTGTTAGTTATGCGCAGTCACGACCACCCGGTAACAATGAGCTAAGCTGCGGTTAACTGCAGCTACTGCGTGGTCAGTTGACTGCACACGCCGCTTCTGGGAGACATCCGAAAGTCCCTGGTGGTCCTTAGTTTGTTTGGTAGATTGAATCTACTGAACACCCTGGGCAGAAAGGCACGAATAAGCCTTCCTGCAGGGAAAATTGTGTTTTTAAATGCTTGTCCATAGTGTAAGGGGAGCAGGCGGGCAACCATGCTCCTCCAATGCACAGTGGCGAGGTTGGTTCCACCACACTCTGTCTCTCTGTTTTCCATATAACGAACATCTTAAAACATTCTGACGTACCTATCTCCATTGCAGAGTCTACTCATCTACATTTTATCAAGTATCCCTGACTATCTATTGCTGCTCTAGTGAGATTTTCTGGACTATTTAACTTTATTTTATTCTACTTTCTGCTGGCGCAACCCCACTCCATCTTTTTGTATTGCTTTCTCTATTTGTTGAAGGATCTGAGGGGTTTCCTTCGTTTGGGTTGCTGCCCTTAGCGCTGACTTCCTGTTGTTTTGTGTGTAGACAACTGGGACCTTACTGAGATCGCTGCCATACAGCCAGACCTGTCCAGTCTCGCCACCCTGGAGTGGGAGCTCGAGCAGGACTATGCTTGCCTTTTTAACCGGGTAATGCCGCCTGTCTCTGACATGATGGGGCGTTTCGTCCCTCCTTCCCAGCAACTAAGCCTGTCATCAGGAGACCCGGACACTGTACCATCTACTTCCCAACCAGCCCCAGAGATAGACCTTATCGACTGGTCCTGGGAAGACCCCCATGTTACGGGCGCTCTACAGATCGTTACAGGATTACCCTGTTTATTTTACCGTATGTGAGTTTATCTTTGTGTGTCAGTGTGTATGTATAACTCTACATGTGTCAATGCATGTATCTGTGTGTGTTTGTGTGTCAGTATGGGTGTGTATCTATATGTGTGTCAGTTTAAATACATACCTGTGTCAGTATGTGTGTGTAACGGATCCCAGTATTCCAGCTGAGTACATCCGTGAAGAATCTCCCAAGTCCCAAGCACCATAGTGAATATAGTAGTGAATATAGCTCCCAATCTTCCAAACATGAGCCTAGACTTCATGAAGGGGTAAAATGATCTGTTTAATCCAGGCTCACTGGCCTGCTTTTATACAATACAGGGATACAGTAAACACAACCTTGACACTCCCACAACACACTGATAAACACGCCTACAAAATGTCCTCAAAATGCCACGTCACCATGACTAAGCATAAAATGGTAAAATATGAAAACACACAAAAATATATATTTGACCACGGGGTTCACACAGGGACTTTTCACGGGTCTTGTAGCCATCCCCTCAGGCACACTGGAATGTCCCAACCTCTTGTCAGCATGCCAAGATCCAGTTTCCACAGACACTCTCCTTTCCTCCGAAGTTTCTAACGGTTTCATGATCGGCCCTTTCACCTCCTCACCGTTTTACTCATGGCGCACTAATCCCACTGGTGTCGCAGTTCACAAGTATTCTAAGAAAAAACGGTTAATTATCGATTTATCGGCACCGCACTCCTCCTTTCTTCCCAGCATTAATGCACTTGTACCCGCAGGCGAATTCTCACTTCAGTATGTAAAAATTGACGACGCCATACAATCCATTATCTCAACTGGTAGTCGCCCCTGGCTCAGCAAAACGGACATCACAAATGCTTTCAAATTACTACCCATGCACTCCTCACTCTGGCATTTGCACGGTGTTAAATGGCGAGAAAAGTACTACTTTTCCACACAACTCACTTTCGGTTCTCGAAGCAGCCCCAAATTGTTTGATATTTTCGCTGAGACTCTATGCTGGCTGCTTCTGAACGTCCTCAGGTGTCACTCTGTCATCCACTACTTAGACTACTTCTTACTGATAGAACCAGAGGCACAAACACCCACCGCTATCCGCAGTACTTCAGCACTTTTCTCCAAACTTGGGGTACCATTATCCACATCAAAAACTATCGGCCCCACAACTGAACTAACCTTTTTTGGGATAGAGCTGGACTCTGTTACCCTCCGAGCTAGCCTTCCTCACGACAAACTGATCCGCTTGAGAGAGGAAATAGAAATGTTTCTGCGGAGTGACGTATGCACCAAAAGGGAACTTCAGTCCCTTCTGGGATCCCTTAACTTCGCTATGCGCATCATTCCGCAGGGAAGGTCATTTATATCCAGGCTTCTCTGCCTGCTCCATGGGGTACCGGACTCCTGCCCAGTTTCATTGGACCCCTACGTCAGGGCTGACTTAGCTATGTGGGGGAAGTTCTTGGCAGATAGGAACGGTATCTCCATGTTTATCCCCCCTCTCTCCATTTCTTCACCCATCATTCACACAGACGCTGCAGCCAACACTGGTTTCGCAGCCATCTTCGGGAACCACTGATTCAGGGGTCACTGGCCCGCTGAGACGGATGCTTTGCCAGGATTCAGGGAGACCTCAGCCCTATTTGAAATGTATCCCATTGTGGCGGCCGCACACACCTGGTGTCTTCTCTGGTCCGGCAAGGCAGTAAAATGAAACAAAGGGCACTCATCTTCCCTTACCATCATGCGGCTGATTCCCAAGCTGACCTGGCTCGCAGCAACCGTCCAGTTTCACTTAGTTTGTTTTCATATCCGGGTATCCACAACACAGCCGCTGACGCTCTTTCTCGCTCTCAATTCCAGGTATTCTTCCAGGCACTCCCTACAGCTCACCACCAGCCATCCAGGACACCACGATTTCACGAACTAATCCTGGATTGAGCGCACTAATGCACCACGCTAGGACTCTCACTCAACAAGCACTATCACCTAACACAGCTATCTCCTACAATAGGGCACTTACCATTTTTAATAAATCCACTGCAGAATTCGGTTTACAAGGTGATTTTTCTACACAAACCATGGTGGCTTTTGCCTCTTTCTGCCACTTACATCTTAAACTTTCTCACAACACCATTAAACTTTACCTCACCGGGGTTCAGCACCATAGCCTCACCAATTTTCCTAACAATACCACCAACTTGTCGTCATATCCCATTAAAAAGGTCTTGAAAGGTATATTAAAGATTTCTGTTCCACTCACCAACACAAGACTGCCTATAGATGGGCCTATCTTTAGATCACTCAGCAATCTCCTTGACGAATCCCCGTTCGATCCCAACACAAACCTGGTGATTAAATCTACTATCTATCTTGCTTTCTACGGTTTTCTCAGACCCAGAGAGTTCAACGTTGTTTGCCAAGGGGATATCACGCACAGCCTCAAAGCTTCACTTACGCTCCCATCAACAAAAACTAATCACTCACAACACCCCACCATCATTCCTCTCTTTCCTACCGATAATGCCTGGTGTCTGGTCAAGGCGCTAGACCACCTATGGTCAACTCATCACGCACACTTACCAGACTCTCCGCTCTTATCACTACAAGGGCACCCGCTCACCACGGCTAAATTCATGGCACACGTCAGAACATTACTATCCAAACTGGGTTACAATCCGGCTTCATTCTCCGGGCACTCCTTCCGCATAGGAGCCGCTTCATCAGCCTCTAGCACAAACACTCCGGTCCACATCATCAAGAGACTGGGTCGATGGAAATCCTCCATATACCATACATATATACCACGACCAGAAAGTGAGCTTTGTCAAGCCTTCAGGAACTTGGTTATGTAAAATGCAATAAAGTGTGTCTTTTCTCGAACTTCTCTTTTGCCCTCTTTTATTTACAGGCCCACTCGTACGTTGGTTTTGGCACACCACAACCAACTTTTCCTTTTCAGATACTATCCATTACGTATTAAATTCCGAGCACAAGTAGAAAGGCCATTAGGCCTGAATTTGCTTAAACTCCCAGCCCCTACTCACCTCTGCCGATCCAGTTGATTGTCCCCACCCACCTATACCCAGTTAGCATTACAATTCTCCTTGGTGGGCCCTCTTTTATTACAGGCCCACTCGTACGTTGGTTTCGGCACACCACAACCAACTTTTCCTTTTCAGATACTATCCATTACGTAATAAATTCCGAGCACAAATATATATATATATATATATATATATATATAAAAATAATTTTTGAAAATTTGTTTTTCTCACCCCTCCTGGGTGGTATGTTTACTCACTAATACTGGAAACAGCTGAACAGGAAAAACCATACGAAAGGTTTACACTCCTGGCAGTCAGCATACAATCCAATTCCCCCAATAATGAGACGACACTTCATTTGAGGGTTAAGCAGAATAAGTTTACTGGCACCAAAAGAACCTTCTTTTATGCAGGTTTCCCTTAGATAGGACCACCCACAGGGTTTTGCACAACAACCAATCATACACGTATATTACAGAAACACTCCCAGCAATTACATACAAAAATCCTCCCCTCTGCCTGTGATATAATTGTAACGGACCGTTTTGCCCAAAAGAGGTTAAAAACCGTTTAGGCGATATTCCCCTTTTTCAGCTACTGCAAGCACCAATCTCCTGAACTGCAAACGACGACACTTCACTTTGAGGGTTAAGCAGGAACTCATTTACTGGGGCTAACTGCCCGGCTTTTATGCAGGTCTCCCACCTGGTGGACACTCCCCTAGGGGACCAAATGGGAGACTGGGACACAAAGGGTAAAAGGACCAATCACAGACTTACACAATTCAACCATCCCACAATGCATCACAATCCCTCCTCTCTGCTCTGGAGATAATTGAGAAGTAATTCAATTATCTCCAAAGACAGAGGCAAAACTCCATTAACCACATGGCAGAAAACAAACAGTAAAAGACATAAAATTACCTACAGTTACATTGAGTACATAAAACATATACGTTCTACATATCCCCAGATAGCTCAGGTCTGAGCGCACATTATTAAGCGAATGGCGCTCAGACCACACGAATACAGTTTAATCGCCATGGAGCCAAAGTCTTTACACAGTCAGTTTCATGCAAATGGGCTCCATGGGATTCCTATCTGGGGCACAACACACTCAAACAAAACTACCGAACACCGGGCCGTTCGTGCACTTTCACCGAACAAGAAGGGAGGTCGGCGGCTTCAGCGGTGTTCGCGCAAAACTGTGTCCGATTTCAGTTCCATGAATTAAGCGTCGAACACCGCTGTGCATTCGCATGTTTAAAATGGCCGCGACCTCGTGTTCGTGATACGAATGGCGGCCACCCAGCATTCGTCAATTAAGCTGCGGTTAACCGCAGCTTCAGGGAGGTTAATTGCCGGCACACTCCAGCTCCCAGGTGGTCTATTCATTCGTGCGGTTGTTCGGTAGATAGAATCTACCGAACACCCGGCAGAAAAGCACGAATTAGTCTTTTCTGCAGGGAAAAAAGATGTCTTTTAACATGGGACCATAGTCCAAAGGCAGCATGCGAGCAACCAGGCTTCTCCAGTGTTCAGTAGCGAGGTTGGTTTCTCCACAATAATTATAGTACACAATGGGTTAACATAATTAAACACAGGCAGTAAAAATACAGTTTTTACACGTGACAGATCCATCTGTATAACCTGGGATTGCTGGTTCGTCTGTTTTGCCGTTTTCATGGAATTACTCATTCGTATACCTCTGTTCGTATAATGGACGTTTTTTGCCGAACAAACTACCGAACGGACAGCCACCCAGAAGAGAAGTGTGCTGCTAGTTAACCTCTTGATCCCAATTAGAACGTTGTGGTTAACCGCAGACACTTCTCAATTAAAACCGAATACAGGGTGGTCGTCATTCGTATGTCGACCACGAGGCGACGGCCATACGAACACCGGCCGTTCGGGAGTTTTAAACTCACGAATGGACTTAACCCAGATAGCCTTCCTATGGAGTCAATCGCATACCAAAAGACTGTAATAGACTTTGACTCCATGGCGATTGAACTATACATATGGGATCTGAGCGCTATTCGCCAATAATATGCACGCAGATCCAGGCTATCTGGGGATACGTGATACGAATGGGTAACATTCGACAAATGTAAAGTTATATATTTTTATGTGTTTTTCTGTGTTGAATTTAAAATGGCGATTTGCCTCTGTAGATAATTGAATTACTTCTCAATTATCTCCAGGGCAGAGGGGAGGAAATACTAATGCATGTTAGAAATATTCTGTGTCTGTGGCTCCTAACCTGCCATATGTCTGTCTGTTGTTACAGTCTCCCATTTGGTCCCCTAGGGGAGTGTCCACCAAGTGGGAGACCTGCATAAATACGGGCAGGTAGCCCACAGTAAAGCCAGTTCATGTTTTACCTACAATGCGGAGCTTGGTCTCGTTATTGGGGGGATTTATTACCGACGACTAGAGACTGCCGGATGGGATTATTAGCCGCTTGGTTGATATATGCGTTCGGCTACTATTGGCGATTCGTGAGTTTGGAGCTTGTGGAGGAGAACTTTGTCCGTGTCCAGGTGCCTCACCATGGCTGTGTGGTGGACTGGTAAGTGGACTGGGTGGGTTGCTGAGTGGGCAGAGACCAGCGGTGCTCTGTCCTGGTGCCAGCACTACCACAAGAGTAGTCTGGTTGGAGCCTGGTTGCTGGAGGGGGAGACCGACTGTCTCCCCTTTAGATACACAGCTCTGCTGCTGGATGGGAAGACCGACTGTCTCCACTTTGGCTAAACAGCCCTGTCGCTGGGGGGCAGAACCGACCGTTCCTACCCCCTGTGGTGTAAGTCTGCACACAGGGGGTTCTCATCTCCCCTTGGTGGGCTAGGCCGCCGCTGGGAAGTATTCTCCCATCCTGGTAGAATACTCTGCCGCTGGGGAGCCAGACCGGCTGTCCATACTCCCTGTAGCTTGGACGCAGAGACCCTGGTCCCATCTGCGCCGGTGGGGAGCTTAATGTCTCCCCTTGATGGGCTATGCTGCCGCTGTGGAGAGGGGGCAACAAGCTCTTCTCCCTGACACTCTCTCTGCTGGGGGAAAGGGGGGAACGACTATCTCCCCTTTCAATATATTGTCCTGCTGCTGAGGAGGAAGGACGGTACCTTCGGCTCCCTGGGACTCACTTGACTGCTGAGGAGAGGGACCAACTGTCTCCTCTCCTAAGAACACACACTGCCGCTGGGGAGGAAGAACGGCACCTTCAGCTCCCTGTAACTCACTCTGCCGCTGGGAGGAAGGACGGTACCTTCAGCTCCCTGGGACACACACTGCTGCTGGGGAGGAAGAACGACACCTTCAGCTCCCTGGGACACACACTGCCGCTGGGGAGGAAGGACGGCACCTTCAGCTCCCTGGGGCACACACTGCCGCTGGGGAGGAAGGACGACACCCTCAGCTCCCTGTAACTCACACGGCTGCTGGGGAGGACAGACGGCCCACCCCCTTGCCCGCTCTGATTCCCATGGCAAGTACTCTCCCACTATTTTCTTCATGAACTGTACTGTTTTCTCCGGGGGGCTGGTTCCAAAGTAAGCCAGCAGCGCAGTAACTTCTCTTTCAAACGCCTCCTGAGTGTAGTTGGGCACCATGCTTGCGCAGCTGAAGTTGGTTCTTTTGTAGATAGGGTCGCTGTACGGATACTAGCGTTTTGCCTACAATTTGTAATCCAGGAACTGGTGTTGTGTTATAGCTGTCCTTCTGGGCTGTGGAAATGATCCCGTCACTTGCCACCAATTGTAACGGACCGTTTTGCACACAAGAGGTTAAAAACCGTTTAGGCGATATTCCCCTTTCAGATGCACAGACAGCTACTGCAATCACCAATCTCCCGAACTGCAAACTACACGAATTCTCCAACTCCTGAACAGGAAACTCACTAATACTGGAAACAGCTGAACAGGAAAAAACATACGAAAGGTTTACACTCCTGGCAGTCAGCATACAATCCAATTCCCCCAATAACGAGACGAGACTTCATTTGAGGGTTAAGCAGAATAAGTTTACTGGCACCAAAAGAACCTTCTTTTATGCAGGTTTCCCTTAGATAGGACCACCCACAGGGTTTTACAAAACAACCAATCATACACGTATATTACAGAAACACTCCCAGCAATTACATACAAAAATCTTCCCCTTTGCCTGTTATATAATTATGGTACAGAATGGGTTAACATAATTAAACACAGACAGTAAAAATACAGTTTTTACACATATTCTGTAACTTTAAAACCACACATCCAATCTCCATAAATGGCATATTTAGAATCAGCAACCTTCAAATATATACATACCGTATATACTCGAATATAAGCCGAGTTTTTCAGCACATTTATTGTGCTGAAAACCCCCCCACTCGGCTTATACTCGAGTCAAGGTCTGTATTGTGGCAATTTGCATTGCCACAATACAGACCAGGACCGCCGGGCTCATTACAAGCCTGGCGGTCCTGTTGGGGGCTGACAGTGAGCTGTTACTTACCTTCCTGCAGCTCCGGTCAGCTCCCTTCTCCTCCGTGCAGCTCCTCTGTCAGCTCCGTTCTGCTTACAGCGCAAGAGACACTGCATTCATTATATACACACACAACACACAAACACACACTCTGCATTCATTATATACACACAACCACACACTGCATTCATTATATACACACACAAACACACACTCTGCATTCATTCTATACACACACTGTAAATAAATATTCAATTAATGTAATTTTATTGGGATCTAATTGTATTTAGAAATTTACCAGTAGCTGCTGCATTTCCCACCCTAGGCTTATACTCGAGTCAATAAGTTTTCCCAATAAGTTTTTTGTGGTAAAATTAGGGGCCTCGGCTTATATTTGGGTCGGCTTATACTCGAGTATATACGGTAACCAAAAATCAGCCAAATCCATCCAGGGGTTAAAAAGTTAGCTGGAGGTCCCTTTATGACCGACCGCAAGCACATTTTCCTGCCCAAAACAGTTCCATAGATTTGGGCTGTGCGGTCAAACTATTTCAGACTGAAAAAACAACTAAGTCCCATCGCCAAATGGGACTTAGTCTCTGTGGCTGCAAAATCATTGTGGGAGAAGGTAGGGCTCAGCAGTGTTCGCGGAAATGTCTAGCCGATTTTAGTTCCATAAATTTGGCTACACATACCGCTGACCTCGTGCGAATGATCAAAGATGGCCGCCACCACGTGTTCGGCAAACGAACAAAGGCCACCCAGCATTGTCAATTAAGCTGCGGTTAACCGCAGCTGCTGGGAGGTAAATTGCCGACAAACTCCCAATACAGGTGGTCCGCCTGTGTGGTACTTGGTTCAGTAAGCCCCATTTACTGAACCAAGTGGGAAATAGCTAGGCACAAAGGGTTTTAACCAGGTCTAGGACACAGGGGACACTGTCATAAAGGGGCAGTGTCCCAAACAAGTCTGGGGACACCGTTTTAAAAGGGCAGTGTCCCAATTATCCCTATGCCCCAAAAAGGTGCTTAAAGGGCCAGCACCAGTACATAAGCCCCAATATGCCCACCGACTGTCTTAAAGGGCCATACACACCCAATAAAAGTCCATAAGTTTTCAGTCTCCCAAGGGCCATAGTCTAAAGGCAGCAGGCGAGCAACCAGGCTTCTCCAGTACATAGCGGCGAGGTTGGTTCCGCCACAAATATCTCAGTGTTGGATTTTGAGTGGAATGCTCCATTCATAGTGAGTAGTTTTCTGGTCTTGACATCCATGGTGACCAGTTCTTCTCTTTACCGGATTATTTCGGCTGGGTACCAGATGACCAGTAGGGCATATGTGTTGATGGCTTGGATCTTGTTTTTGCCATTGAGCTGGAACTTCAGGACCTGTCTGACTCTTTGGAGGTACTTGGATGTTACATTGCATGATACATTGAGCTGAAGTGGTCTGGATGCCTTTAAAGATAAACATGAACATACAGTACATAACCCAATCAAACGTGTGTGTGTATGTATATACAGTTGCAAGAAAAACTATGTGAACCCTTTGGAATGATATGGATTACGTTTCCTGTAGTTGCAGATCAGACATGCACAACGATCAGGAGTAATTCTTGACCATTCCTCTTTACAGAACTGTTTCAGTTCAGCAATATTCTTGGAATGTCTGGTGTGAATCGCTTTCTTGAGGTCATGCCACAGCATCTCAATTGGGTTAAAGTCAGGACTCTGACTGGGCCACTTCAGAAGGCGTATTTTCTTCTGTTTAAGCCATTCTGTTTTTGACTTACTGCTATGCTTTGGGTCGTTGTCCTGTTGCAACACCCATCTTCTGTTGAGCTTCAGCTGGTAGACAGATGGCCTTAAAGGGACACTGTAGTCACTATAACCACTTTGTCTCTTTGAATTGGTTATAGTGCCTGGAGTGTCCTGGCACTGTCCCTCCATTCAGTGTTGCACCATGTTTGTGCAATATGCCACAAAATAAGAGTCCCTGGCCACCCACAGTCCGGCCCCTTCTGTATGTGTAGCTAAGGCAGAGATTACACACTTCCTTGTTGTCATACCCATTCATACCGTCAGTTGGAGCTCTGACAGGTTAAAAGCAGTCAGCTGACACTCTCAGCCAATCACAGCTGACCATTGCTGCTCAGGGTAAAACTTCCTTATTAGCCAAAGCAGCACAGAGGGAATGGACAGTCGGTGTCTCTTGTTTAGCATTAAAACATTACAGCATTAAAAACTGTTTAATGCTGAAAGAAATGATGGCACCAGGGAACTCCATACACTATAACCAGTTTAATGAGATGAAGCAAATACAGTGCCTACGGTGTCCCTTTCTCCTGCAAAATGTCTTGATAAACTTGGGAATTAATTTTTCCTTCGATGATAGCAATCCGTCCAGGCCCTGACACAGCAAAGCAGCCCCAAACCATGATGCCCCCACCACCATACTTCACAGTTGGGATGAGGTTTTGATGTTGGTGTGCTGTGCCTTTTTTTCGCCACACATAGTGTTGTGTGTTTCTTCCAAACAACTCACCTTTGGTTTCATCTGTCCACAGAATATTTTGCCAGTACTGCTGTGGAACATCCAGGTGCTCTTGTGCAAACTGTAAACGTGCAGCAATGTTTTGTTTCCTCTGTGGTATCCTCCCATGAAATCCATTCTTGTTTAATGTTTTACGTATTGTAGATTCGCCAACAGGGATGTTAGCATTTGCCAGTGACTTTTGTAAGTCTTTAGCTGACACTCTAGGATTCTTCTTCACCTCATTGAGCAGTCTGCGCTGTGCTCTTGCAGTCATCTTTACAGGACGGCCACTCCTAGGGAGAGTAGCAGCAGTGCTGAACTTTCTCCATTTATAGACAATTTGTCTTACCGTGGACTGATGAACAGCAAGGCTTTTGGAGATACTTTTATAACCCTTTCCAGCTTTATGTAAGTCAACAATTCTTAATCGTAGGTCTTCTGAGAGCTCTTTTGTGCGAGGCATCATTCACATCAGGCAATGCTTCTTGTGAAAAGCAAACCCAGAACTGGTGTGTGTTTTTTATAGGGCAGGGCAGCTGTAACCAACACCTCCAATCTCATCTCATTGATTGGACTCCAGTTGGCTGACATCTCACTCCAATTAGCTCTTGGAGATGTCATTAGTCTAGGGGTTCACATACTTTTTCCACCTGCACTGTGAATGTTTACATGGTGTGTTCAATAAAAACATGGCAACATTTCATTCTTTGTGTGTTATTAGTTTAAGCAGACTGTGATTGTCTATTGTTGTGACTTAAATGATGATCAGATCACATTTTATGACCAATTTGTGCAGAAATCCATATCATTCCAAAGGGTTCACATACTTTTTCTTGCAACTGTAATAATTAAATACAATTAAAATAGACAGAGAAAACTGGAGACAACTGTGGAGGGTATAGAAAAGTCACTTATCTATTCTTTAAAGGGAAAAAAGAAGCTGCGAAGTCATAATGGTGTTTATGGACCAAACTGAACAGTATTTAATAAATTATTTTGAAAATAGAATGTAAGAGTTTATAAATGCTCTTGGGTCTTATTATCTAGGTCATATACTTAGTAATAACAATTGTATGTCAAGATGTTATCACAACCGCAGTTTAGTAAATTGAGCTATAATTGTTAAAGTTTGTGTTAATATCTTAGTTTGTGTTAATATTAGCTGATTTCTGCACATATTGATTTGTCTTCTCTTGTGATGCCCCAAGTAATATTTAAGTAATTGACTTTTAACCAGACCAATTGTACTGTTTAAAAAAAAAGCTTTGTTATTATTTTTACATTGTTCACACTTATTTATGTTGTTCGCATAGGTAGAAATGTCCAAGAAAGTGGGGTCTTGAAAACAAGGTTTCAACTACATTTAAAATAAAGGAAGCAATGCTTTTTTTCCCCATAGATCACTAAAGGTAAATATCAACATGAGTACATTGATGCTTTGGATGAGAAGATGTCTAACTGGATGAGGTAAGTATAAATGAATCTCATCATACTATCATGCAGTTCGGTGTACCCAAGACATATATTACCTCTACCTCTCCACTTTGAGAATAGCGCATTTCTATTCATCAGATTCGATTACTGGCATTCGATTCACCCGGTAGATTAATGTAAATGTGTAGGTTTAGCCAGTTTATGGACAGCAAATAAAGGTTCCTGGTAATGTATAAATTCCATGTAAGGTTCAGGGGTACTTGGCCCCTAGTCAGCATTAAGGAGTTCATTAACTAGGGTCCGCTATTTTTATTGCCAAAAAAAGAACAAAACCAAACCATGGTAAACCAAAGTAACACCATTTTATATCTACTACTAGGTTTTCAGTTTTTCTGTTTCTGGTGTAAGATCCCACTAAATATTTGATATCTTACAGGCCTTGTGTGTAGCCTGACTGAGAATGTGTGCCTTTGTGCAATTAACATCCAGCGTGAGAGTAGAGCGCAACCTAATGTGTTGTGATCTGTTGGGTGCTAAAAAGTAAAAAAATAAACATCATATAACAAAGATCTTATAGGCTTTCTCACAATGAGAGATATATAAAATAAAACCGCAAAGCATGAAGTACCATTCACTCCACTATTAACCAGGTAAGACCCGAAGAATGTGCTTCCCTTTTCCTTCCATGTTTGCAAGGTATAGAAGTAATGGGATGTGGACTTGCTGAATGGACTACAACTCTTCCTTCTCCTGTGTATGGCAGGTTGAAGTTTAATATATAAACTTAAGCCCTGCAAATGGATCATTCCTCCACCCCTAGATGGTGGAGTGGAGGGTAATAGATTATGTGGTTGGGGGACCTTTTAGTGCTAATAACCATAGGAGCAGAGAGGGTACTAGGATCACTGATTTCTTTTTTTCAATTCTTTATTTTTAGTTTTTCAGGGTCACCTATTTCAAAGGGGTTTAACGTGTATCTGATTCCTTTTATACAGTGTTAGCCATTCATGGGTGGCAGGATTTACTAAGCTATTCCAGTTTTATGACCTGACATAGTAAAACAGATACGGACAGTGTATGAGAACCATCTGCAATTTTATTGTTTTACCAGGTTTTCACACTTTTTAGATGCTTAAAATTTTTATAATGAATTAGGGAATCCATATTTTCTTTTGGAGTTGGATCTCAAGGTTTCTCTATTAATGCAAGCAGATTGTGTGGGTGAACTAACTATTGAACTAAGATAACCAAATAGTATAAATAATTTATAGTTATAAGTATCTTAACCTAAGATATAATTGTAGGTATGTAAATTGTGCCAGACACGAGGAAGAACAAAATATTGTGGCTTTACAATATCACCAAAAAATATACTATCGTGCCTGCAAAGATATCCTCCCGTACACCGAACTCCTTGTCTGGTACGGGGAAGAATATGGAAAAGAACTTGGTATTAAGTGGGGAACATCCTGGGATGAAAATACATCAGCTCCAGGTAATGTGACATATTATTGTGTCAAACTCTGCATCATGCTGTCTTGGGTTTTATGCAATAATTCACCCCTCACATACACACTTCACCCCTCACAAACACACACACACTGCATCCCTCACACACTGCACCTCTCACACACATACACTTCACCCTTCACCACTGGTGGATCCAGAGTCTTATCCTGGGAGGGGCACTCATAGATTATTTAAAGAAACAATTCAGGCACATAACCACTACAGCTCTCTGTAGTAGTTATGGTGCCAGGAGTGCCGTGGCGCCCTCCCAGAGTAAATAGTCAAACTGTTTAACCCCTTAAGGACACGTGACATGTCATGATTCCCTTTTATTCCAGAAGTTTGGTCCTTAAGGGGTTAAGAACAGTTTGACAATTTACCAGGATAGGGTATAAGGCATCTAGTAATGTGTGTGTGTGTGTATGGGAGGCACTGAGTGTGTGAGGGATGCAGGGTGGGTATGGGAGGCAGTGTGTGAGGGGTGCAGAGTGTGTGTGTGAGTACAGGAGGCAGTGCATGTGGGACAGTGTGTGTATGGGGATGCAGTGGGAGCACTGTGATTAGGAGGGGCAGTGTGTGTTTGTGTGAGGGGTGTAGTGTGTGCATGGGAGTGCAGTGGGAGCACTGTGTATGGGGCCAGTGTGTGGATGAGGGTGTAGTGGGGGCAGTGTGTGTATGGGAGTGTAGTTGGGGAAGTGTTTGTGTGGGGGTGCAGTGTGTGTGGGGGGGAGAAGTGTGTGGGGATGCAGTGTGTGTGTGTGTTGGGGTGCAGTGTGGATGGGGTAGAAGTGTGTGTATGTGGGTACAGTGGGGGAAGAGGGTGTATGGGGGCTATGTGTGCATATGGGGGGCTGTGGGGGCAGTGTTTGTGAGGGTTGAAGGAGGGGGCAGAGTAAAACAAATGTTTTTTTGTTTTTTTAAAATTAATTTATATCCCCCTCCCTTTTTACCTTTGTTTGGGAGGGAGGATATTATTTCCAATCCGTGGTGAATCCCTGGCGGTTCTAGTGGGGAGTGAACTCCAGCCTGCACCTCCTGGGCTAGAGTTCACTCTCGTGAAAAAGGATTGTTGCCATGGTAACAGTGGAAATTCTCCGTGCTCGCGAGAGGAGACCCGGCAGAGCTGCAAGCTAAAGCTCCCGGGTCTCCTCTTCTCTATGTGCTGGCTGCCCAGAAATGTGCCCATTGCACTCCCCCCAGAATCCGCCACTGCCCTTCACACACATATACACTTTATCCCTCACACACGCACTGCAACCATCACACCCCCAAGACACACACACTGCACCGCTCACAAACACACTTCACCCTCACACACTCTTGTCAGGATTCCCACATGTTCTTCTGGATTCCTCCACGTTGTTCCAAGTCCAAATGGCACTACCCACCTTCAAAAGGAAGCTGCAACATCCAAAGGGCTCAATCAATTTTTGTTTGGTTTGTGCCTCTCGCATACTTGCTACCTGGTTGCTGTTTGCTGACGGAGCTCTACTATTTGATTACCTGTGTACCGAACCTCTCTGACTTGATCCTAGCTACTCTAAACTCTCCACCCCCATACTAGGAACAGACGTCACCACAGATTCCTGCATTCCTCCACATACTACAGGGAACCATAATCCACTCTGCTCTGGAAAAGATTTACAAGTCTGCCCTCTGGGATTCCATTGCATATTGATTACTCTATTAAAAGTCTCTTTTACTAATTATTCATCCCTAATTATTGATATTACTCATTATGTTAGAGTCTGAAAGACTATAACCACTATCCAAACCAGGATCTATTTTAATTTTCAACAATTACTGTTGCAACCTAAAGGACTGTGTTAACTTCCTTAAAACTGGAATCACCTGCTCTGTCAATTCTATATTGAAGTCTAATGGACTGTGTTGCTTATTGCTGATTAAACATTTCCTTATTTTTATTTATTACTCAATGCTATTTTCTTGTGAAGCAATACTAAAACAAGATTAGTTTCCATTTATCCTTAAAAACACTGAGGATAAATGGAAACTATTCAAACAAATATTAGAAAGGTACATTTCTCAGTATGTACCATTGGGTAATAAATATAAAAAAACAAATTAAAACCAATGTGGCTTAGTAGAGAAGTAAAACAAGAGATTAAAAATAAGAAAAGGGCATTTAAAGCATTTAAATCAGACATATCAAAGGCATCCTATTTAAGATATAAGGAAGCCAATAACGCTTGCAAAAAGGCAATTAAAGTGGCTGAACTAGAAAATGAGAAATTGATAGCTAAAGAATGCAAAACCAACCCCAACATTTTTTTCAAGTACATCAATTCTAAAAAAACAAAAAATGAAAGTGTAGGTACACTTGAAACAGAGTTGGGTTCATTAGCTAATGAAGACCAGGAAAAAGCAGACATTTTAAATAACTATTTTTCTTCAGTATATATTAATGAGGATCCTATGGCAAGAGATATGCAAATGATTGCTGCAAAAAACTTGCAAACAACTTGTGATTGGATAACTCGAGACAAGGTGCTACAGCTATTAAAGAAAATTAATGTAAATAAAGCTCCGGGGCCTGACGGTATTCACCCATGAGTACTTAAGGAGCTAAGTGGGGAAATAAGTGAACCTCTGTATTTACTTTTTCAAGATTCTTTTGTTTCAGGTGTTGTACCGGAGGATTGGAGGAAGGCAGATGTTGTTCCTATATTTAAAAAGGGTTCAAAATCCTTGCCTGGAAATTATAGACCTGTGAGCTTAACTTCTGTAACTGGGAAAATATTTGAAGGGCTATTAAGGGATAATATTCAGAATTCATTGGGAAGAACTTTGTTATTAGCAATAATCAGCATGGTTTTATGAAACATAGGTCATGTCAAACTAACCTAATTGCATTCTACGAAGAAGTAAGTAGAAGTATAGATCAGGGTGTTACAGTGGATGTGATCTACTTGGATTTTGCCAAGGCATTTGATACGGTTCCTCACAATAGGTTAGTCTTCAAACCAAAAGAAATTGGTCTAGATGAATATTCTTGTTCTTGGGTAGAACATTGGCTTAAGGATAGAGTACAACGAGTTGTAATTAATGGTAAATTTTCAGGCTGGACAAAAGTGGTAAGTGGTGTCCATCAGGGTTCTGTTTTGGGACCACTTCTATTTAACATATTTATAAGTGATCTTGAAATAGGCATTGAAAGCCATGTATCAGTGTTTGCAGATGACACAAAACTTTGTAAAGTAATAAAATGTGAGCAGGATATTGCTTTGCTGCAGAGAGATTTGGATAGATTGGGGGACTGGGCACTAAAATAGCAGATGAAATTTAACATAGAGAAATGCAAATTTATGCACTTTGGGGTTAAGAATGCACAAGCAACTTACACACTAAATGGTAGTGAATTAGGGATAACCACACACAAGAAGGATTTGGGAATTGTTATAGACAACAAATTAGGCAGCAATATGCAATGTCAATCTGCAGTTGCTAAGGCCAGTAAGATTTTGTCATGTATAAATAGGGGCATAAATTCTCGGGATGAAAATATAATTTTGCCTCTTTATGAATCGCTGGTAAGACCACACCTTGAATATGCTGTGCAAATTTGGGCGCCTGTTCTAAAGAAGGATATCATGGCACTGGAGAGGGTCCAGAGACGAGCTACAAAATTGATATAAGGAATGGAGCATTTTAGTTATGAAGAAAGGTTAAAAAAATTAAATCTGTTTAGTTTGGAAAAACGGCGCCTGAGAGGGGATATGATAACTTTATACAAATATATTCGGGGCCAGTGCAAACCATTATCTGGAAATCTATTCATAAACAGGGCTATACATAGGACACGAGGTCACGAATTTAGGCTGGAAGAAAGGAGATTTCATCTAAGGCAAAGAAAAGTTTTTTTTACAGTAAGAACAATAAGGATATGGAATTCTCTGCCTGAAGAGGTGGTTTTGTCAGAGTCAATACAGATGTTTAAACTGAAATTGGATAAATACTTACAAAAACATAACATACAGGGATATAATTTCTAATTAGTGGGTAATAGCTGATTGATCCAAGGAGACATCTGACTGCTATTTTGGGGTCAAGAAGGAATTTTTTCCTAGTTTGTGGCAAAATTGGAAGCGCTTCAGACCAGGTTTTTTGCCTTCTTTTGGATCAACAGCAACAACATTTGTGAGGAAGGCTGAACTTGATGGACGCAAGTCTCTTTTCAGCTATGTAATTATGTAAGATTGCCATTATGTATGCATTAATATTTTCAATCCATATTGCTGCAGAAGACTGCCAAAGTGAAATTACTTTATTTCAATACATTATATTTTCTTAAAGTGACAATATCAGTGTAACGGATCACCTGGCACCCCGACTGGGTACCTCCGTTGAAGGATGCTCCTAGCACTTCCTGAGGACTCCAAGCACTGCAGCAGACACCACAACCACCGAACCGGAGAAGCACATGAATGCTCTCAATCATATGAATGTTGTATACAGCCGAATAGGAAAAACCATGCAAATAGGTTTACACTCCTAGCAGTCAAACTGGAACAGCATACAATAAATCCTCCCCTATAATGAGACGACACTTCACTTTGAGGGTTAAGCAGGAACTGACTGTACTGGCACATACAGCCTCTTTTATTCCCAATCCACAAATTTAGTACTGCCCACAGGGTTTTACAGAACAACCAATCAATCTGTACAATACAGTTTCATAAAACACATCACAGGGACCCCAAAACTTGCAATAATCCCATAAACCGGGTGATCTGGGTGAACCACATATCCAAAATTCACCCAGATCCGTTCAGTACTTTGGAAGATACAGTTTAATGCATATTTTACAGAACATATGCAGGCTATATGAAAAATCATTACTGTATAATGTGTCCCCTGTTGCATAGTCCAAAACCACTGCACAATGTCTCTGTGCACCAAATACTGGCGAGATGCCACCGTGTTGAAAAGTCCAAACAGTGTCTGTGAGTTAAAATGGCGGCCATCCATTGTTCTCACCATGTGCCTCTGATACAGCAACTCCACAGTATGTCCCCAGATGGTTTTTAAAGGGCCAGCAGCAGCACAACACAAATCCATTATGCCCAAATCATGTCTTTAAAGGGCAATACATCTTAGGGGCCATAGTCACATGGCAGGAGGCTGGCAATCAGTCTTCTCCAATGCCCAGTGGCGAGGTCGGTTTCGCCACAATCAGATTTATTTATTCATCTGTGGTTAAGTTCCAAATGATTTTTCCTGAGAACATCACAATATTGATTGATCCTAAAAAATGGAACCAGCAGAACTTAACTCTTAATACTGTCAGACTAATTTCTGACATTTGGATGAACCGAATTGCCGATGTGCTGAATTACTGAAATGTCGAAGTGCTGTATTTTGGAAGTGCCAAACCAAACCGCCGAATTTCGGAAGTGTCGAAGTGCATCGGACTTCTGAAAAACGGCAAAACGGGTAGGATTGGGTTTGGTGTAGAGTTAGGGTTAGGAGTAGTGTTAAGGTTAGGGTTAGGTTAGGAGTAGGGTAAGGGTTAGGAGTAGGGTAAGGGTTGGGTTAGGGTTAGGAGTAGGGTTAGGGTACCTCTACCCAAAACCTACCCCTACTCCTAACCGTAACCCAACCCTTACCCTACTCTGAACCCTTACCCTACTCCTAACCCAACCCTATCCCTACTCCTAACCCTAATCCAACCCTAGCCCTACACCTAACCGCCACCTCCAATCCCGCCCACAGGGTCCGCCTCCAAATCCCGCCCACAGGAATACACACACAGACACAAACACACACACTGATGCAAAAGGACACAGATACATACTAACAGACACACATACTGAAACAGACATACACACATATAGGCATACATAGTGACAGACAGACACATACTAACATACATACAGAAACACATGCATGAGGACATACATACACACTGACATACATACAGATACCGACATACATACATACATACACACACACACATATATATATATATATACACACACACAGACACAGACATACATTCATAATGGCATACAGACATACATGCAGACTGATATAAATGCATATATAAAGATATACTGACAGACATACATACATACAGCCATACATGCATACAGACATTGATACTGACATACATATATACATATATACATACATTCATATATACATGTATACATACAAACTGACAGACATACATACAGACATATATACATACTAACAGACAGAGACATACATAATGACATATAGACATACATTGATACTGGCATACAGACATAGTGACAGACATATATACATACATACTGACACACATGGCATACATTGATACTTGCATACATAAATACATACATACTGGCAGACATATATACATGCATACAGACATACATTCATACATACATAATGACAGACATACATTCATACATACATAATGACAGACATACATTCATACATAATAACATACATACAGACAAACATGCATACATTGATACTGGCATACATACATACATACTGACAGATATGCAGACATATATACATACAGACAGACATACATGCATGCATACAGACATACATTCATACATAATAACATACATACAGACAAACATGCATACATACATAATAACATTCATACAGACACACACACAGCTCATTTTCCAGCCACCCTCCTGTTTCTTACCTTTTCTTTGCAGGAGGATGGCTGGGGCTGATGGGACTCGGAGTCAGCACAGCTCTCCCTCACTGCCGGGCGCGCGTTCATCCCACGCCAAGTGAGCTGGAAGGAAGTGACCACTTCCTCCCAGCAGCACTTGCTGCAGCGGCTTTTTTTTTTTTTTTTTTAAAGTGGCCTTAAGTGCGTGGCCCCCAGGGCCGCCGGGCCCGTGACAACCATCATGGTTGTCACCTCCTAATGGCAGCCCTGCTCCTAACCCTTACCCTACTCCTAACCGTTCTCTTATCCCAAGCCTAACCGTACTCCTAACCCAACCTAACCCTATCCCTCTCCTACTCCTAACCAAACCATTACCCTTCTCTTAACCCAACCCTAACCCTACACTTATCTGAATTGCCGAAGTCCCAAATTTCGGAAGTGCCGAACTGAACCAAATTGCCGAAGTCCCGAAAGGGCCAAAGTGCCGAACCGAAATTTCTGCCCATGCACATCCTTAGTAGATGGTTCTACTATTCCTTCTGGTCCTATTAAATATGAACCATCCCTCTAAAGATGACTACTGCAATTAACCACAATGAATTTGATATTGTGAAATTACCTTTATTTCCCGGCATACTTGGCATGAACTGGTTATAACTTCACAACCCTCACATTCGATGGTCTCCTATCACAGTATAGCTCAAATCTAAATTTTGTAAAGAAAATTGTTATCCTCATCTTCCTCTGTTTCAAATTACTGAAACAAACTAGGATACCTAAACAATATAGTGAATTCAAGGATGTCTTCAATAAAACTGAAGCTGAGTTTTTACCTCATCATATGGTATCTGACTGTCCTATTGATCTTCCTGGAGCTGCTGTACCTTTTGGACCTATATATCCACTCTGAACCTCAATTAAAAACTATTTAAGAATACCTAGAAGAAAACCTGCACAAAAGATTAATCAGACCATCTACTTCTTCTGCTGCATCTGCTATATTCTTTGTCAAAAAACAAGGACAACACTATTCGTCCCATCATCGATTACCGTGCACTAAATAATTCTTCCATTAATTCCTGAACTAATTGAGCGACTGAAAACAGCAACCATCTATACAAAACTTGACCTTCGCGGAGCATACAACTTAATCAGAATAAAAGCTGGACATGAATGGAAAACAGCTTTTCGTACAAGGTTTGGATTATATGAATATCTAATAATGCCATTTGGACTTTGCAACGCTCCTGCCATTTTTCAACACTTTATTAACAATATGTTTTGTGACCTCTTGGACAAATGTGTCATAATTTATCTCGATGGCATACTTATTTACTTTCATACTTTCAAGATTACATACACAGGTTATATGCTAAACCATAAAAAAATATTTTTGAAGTATCTTAAGTCTCATTTCTGGGATGTGTTATTTCACCCCAAGGCATAAAGATGGATGATACCAAGATACAGTGCATCCTAAATTGGCCTGTTCCTGCTACAGTAAAACAAGTCCAAAGTTTCCTGGGATTTTCAAATTTCTATCGTAAATTTATATTTAAAAAATCAGAAATTGTTCAACCACTTACTCCGCTTACTTATAAGAATGTTCCCTTTAATTGGACTGTTGATACTCAAAATTTTTTTGATATCTAAAACAGTGTTTTACATGTGCACCTATACCCAAGATGCCGAATTCCTTTCTTTCCTTCATCCAAGAAGAAAATGCTTCAGATAACAGCAGAGGAGCTGTTCTTTCCCAACAAACAAGACCACAGGATCCTTTACATCCTATTGCTTTATTTTCTCCTACCCTATCTCTTTCGTATTTGGCGAAAAAGAATTACTAGGAATAAAAGCTTCTTTTGAGAACTGCAGTCATTTACTTGAGGAAACTGAAAAACCTCTACTTGTCTACACTGACCATAAAAACCTTTTTTGCAGACTACTAGAACATTGTCGGTAGAGACGTACTAGATACCACACTCACCAAGTAACCCAGGTGCTCTGAAATCAAGGCTCACCAGTCCTCCCTTCCAAGATATGCAGAATAATTAACAGTTAGGGAACTCTGGGATTACAAAAAATAGAAGCTTTATTATTGCAAAAACAGCAACATTTCGACCCTGCAGGGTCTTTATCAAGCAGACAAACACCGGTTTAAGATGACAGGCTTGGAGAAATTGGATTGTTACGAAGATGGAGATGCAATCTCTTCAGACGGAATTAAGGTGATGTTCCAGTTAATTTGGTAGAATCCAGAAGAGAAGTAAAGTCCAGTCCGGGTCTTTGGTAGAGAGGCAATAGTATGGGTGATCCAAAACCGGGGTTAAAATCCAATTCAGTCTGGCAACAAATAATTAGTCCAAAAGGGGAATCCAGTAGAAGTGTCAGGTCCAGTCCAGGTCGGCAACAGGTAACAGGAGCAGAGGTAGAATCCTAGAGAATAGTCAAAGTCCAATCCAGTTTGGCAATAAAGAATCATAGGGAAATCCAAATAGAGAAGTTAATTCCAGTCCAAACCAGCAACAAGTGGCAAATGAAGTGGTTTTATCCCTGAGAGCGGTCAGAATTCAGTCCGGTTTGGCAATGTGGAGATCAAAGGAAGTATAAAGGATTTTATGTTTAAAAGGGGATTGGAAAGGTTGTTTGGACTGGGAGTAATGGCACCTACATAGCAAAAATAGATGTCAACTGCACACTGGTAAAGAGACACATTAATTGTGCACTGGGGTATTGACGTTGGACGTTTAAATAGGTGAATTAGTCTCTTAAAGTGGTATAGTTAAGAGGTGAGGTGAACCATTTAAAGAAACCATTACACCTGGTTCAAATAATAAAAAGGCTGATTCTCTATCATGTATGCATCCTCAAGATGTTGGCTCAAATGAACCTACTTCAATCATATCACCTTCAAAATATATTGGAATAACGTCCCAATTTATAAGCAAGATAAAACAAATTGATAAAGAAGAACTTCAAATTCCTATTGATTCCAGTTTAACTGAACAAGAAGGTGTTTACTTCAAGGATGATATGTTGTTTATACCTCCTTCTCTAAGAACTGAAGTATTAGAAATGGTGCATGATCTTCCGCTTGCTGGACACCTGGGAATAAAGAAAACCATCGATCTAACTACCAGACATTTTAGGTGGCCTGACTGTTTTGTCTTATGTGTCCTCATGCCAAGTCTGTCAAAGATCTAAACCTGTCCTGCAACATCCTTATGGACTATTAATGAATTTTCCTATTCATGATCGTCCATGGAAATCCATCTCTATGGATTTCATCGTTGACCTACCAATATCTAAAAAAACAAACCACTATTCTTGTGGTCGTGTATCGTTTCACCAAATGTCTCATTTTGGTTCCAATTTCAAAAATTCCATCCTCACTCGAATTATCCAAATTGTTTATCTCATTGTACGACTTCAGGGGTAACCTGACAAAATTATCTCAGATTGTGGATCACAGTTCACATCTAAATTCTGGAAAGAATTGTGTAAGAGTCTTGGATTTGTAAATAAATTCTCCTCTTTGTATCACCCTCAGACAAATGGACAAACTGAGAGAGTGAATCAATGTCTGGAACAGTATCTTAGATGCTTCTGTACCCATCTCCAAGATGATTGGTCATCATGGTTACCTTTGGCTGAATTCGCTTATAATAACTCTCTACATTCAAGCACAAAGATGACACCCTTTTTCTCCAATTATGGGTTTTATCCAACCTCTCTTACTACAGATCTCATTTGTAGTTCCAATCCTTCAGTTAATTTTCAAATAGAAGAAATTACGAATTTGTTCAAAACCTTAAAAAGCAATCTTGAATCTTCCTCAGCAAGTCAAAAGAAATTTGTTGACAAAAAAAGTGATATAGATCCAATATGATCTTTGGTATATTCAAGGGACCCCAAATTATTTCAAATGCACTTGGAGGAGCATGAATTCAGACACCAGACACCTGTTGGTATTCAAAATAGGCCTCTGCCCTTTATTTTGTCAGTTGTGTTTTTATACATTAAAAATTAAGTGCTTACGGGCAAATACTCATAGGACAGTAGTAGGAAGGGAGTGAAAGGAGTACAGATAAGACATACAAAGTCAACCAGGTTCCTAGCCCAAATGTACAATCCCAATCCCCAAAGAAGCCAGTTGTAATGGTGTTACCTGGGTTGTAGTCTGAAGTGCAGAGATCTGTGCTCACCCTTGCAAATAGACACAAACTGAGGTGGTCAGGTAAGAATTCACCTGGTCTGTGAGTCTGTGCACGGGGGCTGTGCAGGAACAATAACCAGGTACGAGGAAACAGACAAGGGCAAATCCAGGAGAGTAGTCAGACGAGTTTCCAAAGGTCAGGGCAGGCAGTGAACAGGCAATAGCGAATATACAGAAACAGGAGTCAAAAAAACCAAGTCAGTCAGGAACAACAGGAATCAGGACATGATGAATTGACCATTATGGAGTCTGCAGAGATGTGCACCCTGCTTTCCCAGCAATTGTCCAGTCTGGCCCAGACTGTTGCAGAGCTGCAGCGAGAAGTTCTATTCCTTAAAGGCACAGTACACCCGGCCCCGGAACCTACTTATTCTGAGCCATACGTTGTTATGACTGAGATGTTCGGCGGTAGCCGTGCATCCTTTCTGTGCTTTAAGGTGGATTGTGAAATATATTTGCCTTAAAGCCTCGCACATATGCCAGTGACTCTTTCATGGTCCGTGCGGCTATTAACCTGCTGTCCAGAACGATCAAGACATGAGCACACCACATGCTGCAGTCTCAGAGTTCTGTCCTCGACGGTTGGGCATCCTTCATGACTGCAATTTACTCGCAGTGCAAGAACACTGTGGCAAAACCTGCTCCACATCTCAGAAGATCCCAGGTTCCCAGAAATAAGGAGACTCTGTACCAACGTCAGGCCTCCTTGTTGCCTCCTTCAGAGGAAAAAGAGGAGCCCATGGAGACCGGCTTCATCCGTACTATATTGTTATCCAAAGAGAGAGACCGAAGGAGGAGTTGTGGTCTTTGTTTCTACTGTAGAGAAAGAGGGCACTTTATCTCCCACTGCCCTATTTGCCCACCTCGGCCTAAATATCTTCAAGTAGGTGCAGTTTGTACCCATCCTGTCTTCATTGCAACACAGCCTGGAAACTGCCAAAGTTACTGCCAGCCCTGTCCCCGTTCTGTGACACAAAAGGGTACCCAAACTACTGCAGTCAATGTTACTAGTGTCCCTCAAGAACCTGCAACCAGTACCCCTGAGGAATCTCCACCTCCTGCTCCAGAAACATCTGTACCTCTTCCTGACGACACTTCTGTTCAAGCAAGCACCATCACTACTTCCTGCTTTGCCAAGAAAGTTCTGCCACCTGAATGCACGTATGCCTCAAATGGCACAGTTGTATGCAAACAGGATCGCAAGGTATTTGAAAAAGCATTGAAAGCTGCGAATGCCTTCCCTGTGAGAACTACTTGAGCAAAGGCTGCAGTAGTTGCTGTGTTTCCCTCTATTCTGGAAGAAGGCTGTATGTACGGCATGGATGCCTATGGGAGAACGTACCTCCTGCCAGATGATGTATTCAATCTTTCAGAGGAGGAAGGTAATTCTGATCTGAAAGAAAATGATGAGCAACCACTGAAGTGCCTAACTGGGGACTTGAACCTGAGGCATTATACATCCCTAGCCTGTGTTCCTGCCTCTAAGCCACATTCAGTTCTTGTTTTCATTCTGTAGTTCCTTCCTGCATTGTCTCCAGCACTGGGGGCTGGACTTTACCCGTGGCTCCTCTGGTCTATCTAGCCCACCTGAAGCAGATGTTAATCAGCTTGGTATTTAAGCACTGCCTCACACTTTGTCAGTTCATTGTATCCTGATTCCTGTTGTTCCTGACTGACTTGGTTTTTTGACTCCTGTTTCTGTATATTTGCTATTGCCTGTTCGCTGCCTACCCTGACCTTTGGAAACTCGCCTGACTACTCTCCTGGATTTGTCCTTGTCTGTTTCCTCGTACCTGGGTATTGTTCTTGCACAGCCCCTGTGCACAGACTCACAGACCAGGTGAATTCTTACCTGACCACCTCGGTCTGTGTTTATGTGCAAGGGTGAGCACACATCTCTGCACTTCAGACTCCAACCAAGGTAAGACCAATACACCAGTATCCTGTTTGATATCCTGTACTAGGTCATGTAAGTCTTTTATATGTTTATGGATCATAGTGCCACGGTCAGGTAGGTTTTGTGACGAGACCAATCTCGCCACTGTGCATTGGAGGAGCCTGGTTGCCCGCCTGCTGTCTTTAGACTATGGCCCCATGTTGAAACGCTTGATTTTTTTCCCCTGCAAAGAAACGAAAGTCGAGTCATTTGGTACTTGCCCTATTTGAATAGAGATACCCCAGATAGCTATGCCATTCGTATACCGAAAGACTATGGGAAAAACTTTGGCTCCATGGCGATTGAACTGTATGTATGTGATCTGAGCGCCATTCGGTAATTATGTGCACTCAGATTTAAGCTATTTGGGGATATGTATATGATATGTACCTGTTTTATGCAATAGCTGCACAGTTATATATTTTTATGTATTTTAATGTCTTTTGCTACCATGTGTTCAATGGAGTTTTGCCTCTGTCCTTGGAGATAATTGGATTACCTCCCAATTATCTCCAAGATAGAAGACTCTGTGGAACTGGTTTTGGGCAGAAATGCCATGCTTCATTTGGTCACAAAGAACTTCGATCTATCTTTTGAACCAATGGACAAATTTGGATGATTTTGACATATGTTTGTATTTGGAGTATGCTGATTCTGAAAATGTACGTTTTTATGTGAACGTGATGCATACTTTTAAAGTTCTGAATAATTTGGCAAAACTGTATTTCCCTGCCTGTGATAATTACATTAACCCATTGTGTAAGGTAATTGTATCACAGGCAGAGGGGAGGATTGTGTGTGGGAGTGTCTGAGTGTATTGTACGTGTTTATTGGTTGTTTTCCCAAAACCCTGTGGGTGGTACTAATGTTTAAGAATGTGTATATAAGAACAATAAATCCACATCTCTGTCTGTTCCTGCTTGACCCTCAACATGGAGCCTTGTCTTGTTCTTGGGGGGGGGGTATTTATTGTATGCTGTTCCAGTTCGACTGCTAGGAGTGTAAACCTTTCGTATGGTTTTTCCTATTCGGCTGTTTACAGCATTCGTATGTTTGAGAGCATTCGTATGCTTCTCCGGTTCGGTGGATTGGTGTCTACAGTAGCTGCCTGTATATCTGGAAGGGAATATCTCCTAAATGGCTTTTAACCCATTTTATGCCTGGGGGTGCCGTTACAGGTTAAAACAGCACGGACCTTCAATAGCTTCACAGCCTGTCTTGTTTCATTAGTTAGTAAGTCTATGGCTGCTCTATCCTCAAGGATTGCCTTCTTATTTGCCTGGGTTTCCATAAGGGTTTCCTTCTGGGGCCTTGAAATGGCATTTAAACCCTTTGTAATGAGACAGGCTACAGCATTAATTACTCGGCTATTATACAGTGCTAAGCCTGGGACTCCTACCATAGAGAATGCAAGGGATTTAGATAAGAAAGGGATTTCAGGGGTTACAATCTGAAGTAAGGGTGTTTTTAACATCTCTCCTGTCTCTCTGCGGTTTGTGTAGCTGGGTGGTTTCAGGGATCAGGTCAGATTTGGAAAACTTGGTCATGGTTAGGCGTGAGATTGCACAGGTACCTCCTGTAATGTTACCTGGGACATAAGTAATATTTCCACAGGAGAAAGGCCATCCTTTAGGGAGATAGACTGGTAGTGATAACTCATAACTTGTTGAGTTTTGGTACAATTCATAGTGGTGCTCAGGGCTCTACTATTCGTGGTATTTTTTTGGGGGGGTATAGGGGGAGCTTGCCTACCAGTGGGTTGAAAGCATAAGAATATAGTTGTATTCTTTTTATTATTATCGCCATTTATATAGCGCCAACAGATTCCGTAGCACTTTACAATATTATTAGAGGGGGATTTAACTATAAAGAGGACAATTACAAGAAAACTTATAGAAACGATAGGTTGAAGAGAACCCTGCTCAAACGAGCTTACAGTCTATAGGAGGTGGGGTATAAAACACATTAGGACAGGAAATAGCAATCAAATTAGGTGGGAGTGAAGCAGAGCTGGGGGAGAGAGTAGAGTACAGAAATTTTGGTCCCCTAACTCAGCTCAGGGTCTCCAATCCCGCCCACAGGAATACACACACAAATACACACACTGATACAAAAGGGCACAGATACATACTAACAGACACACATACTGAAACAGACATACACGCATATAGGCATACACACATATACAGACACACAGGCATACGTAGTAATATACATACAGACACACATGCATGAGGACATAAAGACACATGCATACATACACACTGACATACATACAGACACCGACACACAAACATGCATTCATTCTGGCATATATACAGACATACTGACAGACATACATACTGACATACATGCATACTGACATCCATACACACAGACATACGTTCAATGACATGTAGACATGCATGCATACTGACATGCATACATACATAATGACATTCATTGATACTGGCATACAGGCCCAGACTGGCCATCGGGCACACCGGGCAAATGCCCGGTGGGCCGCGGTGGCCGTGGGGCCGAGGCCGGCAGGGGAGGTCCCAGGATCTCCCCTACCGGTCTATGCAGGGCCGGCACTATCCGAGCGCCGGCCCCGCTGTCTTCCATGGAGGGCCGATGGGGAGATCAAAGATCTCCCTCACCGGCCCATTTAAATAGACCTGCGGCTGGGGAGGGAGGGAGAGGACCCGGCGGAGCTCTGTCTTGCAGCTCCGCCGGGTTTCTCTCGCGAGATCCGGAGCGTTGCCATGGCAACGCCCCGATCTCGCGAGAGAGTTCACTCACCACTGGACCATTTTTTTTGTTTATTTCCCCCCTTAGTTTTTTTTTTTATATATATATTTACCCCCACTTAATTTTTTATTTGTTTATTTACCCCCCAACACACAACATTTATACACAGCACTATCACACTCAGCATTCTCAGCACTCACACAACACTCTCACACACATCACACCCAGCACTCTCACACCCAGCACTCTCACACTCAGCACTCTCACACACAGCACTCTCACACACAGCACTCTCACACGCAGCACTCTCACACACATCACACGCAGCACTCTCACACACATCATAGCACTCTCACACACATCATAGCACTTTCACACACATCATAGCACTTTCACACACAGCACTCTCACACACAGCACTTTCACACTCAGCACTCTCACACACATCACACGCAGCACTCTCACACACATCACACACAGCACTATCACACCCAGCACTCACAACACACAACACTCTCACACACAGCACTCTCACACACAGCTCAGCACTCTCACACATCACACGCAGCACTCTCACACACATCATAGCACTCTCACACACATTATACACAGCAATCTCACACATCGCAGCACTCTCACACACATCATAGCACTCTCACACACAGCACTTTCACACTCAGCACTCTCACACACATCACACGCAGCACTCTCACACACATCACACCCTGCACTCTCACACACAACACTCTCACACACAGCACTCTCACACACAGCGCAGCACTCTCACACATCATAGCACTCTCACACACATCACTCTCACACACATCATAGCACTCTCACACACAGCACTCTCACACACATCATACACAGCAATCTCACACATCGCAGCACTCTCACACACATCATAGCACTCTCACACACATCATAGCACTCTCACACACATCATACACAGCAATCTCACACATCGCAGCACTCTCACACACATCATAGCACTTTCACACACAGCACTTTCACACTCAGCACTCTCACACACATCACACAACACTCTCACACACAGCACTCAACACTCTCACACACAGCACTCAGCACTCAGGCACATCACTCTCACACACATCACACTCAGCACTCACACACATCATACACAGCACTATCACACTCAACACTCATACACAGCACTATCACAATCAGCACTCACACACATAACACACAACACTCACACACAGCACTCTCACACATCACTCTCACACACATCACACATCATACACAGCACTATCACACTCAGCACTCACACACATCACACACACAACACTCTCACACACATCATACACAGCACCCTCACACACATCATACACAGCACCCTCACACACACAGCACCCTCACACACATCACACCTCACACACACATACTGCACCCCTCACATACACACACAATCCCCCAATACACTGCATCACACACATACACAATACTTCCAAACATATTTATATAAACTATATATATATATGTATATATATATATATATATATATATATATATATATATACACATACACACAACACCCCTCACACACACACTGCACCCCTAAACACATTACATTCCAGACACACACTAGATCCTTTAGCCAACTCTGGATCATATACACACACACACTCTGGATCCCCTATATGCACACTATATGCACACTAGATTCCTTGTAAGCAAACACATACTACATTCCCTGAACACACACTCTCTACAAACACTAAATCACCTATACACACACACACTATAGCCTGTATGCACACACTTGCTACATCCCCTATACACACATTCTCTACAGCCCCTTGCCACATATGCATTACATTACACCACAAACACAACACGACTAAAACAGACCTTATTACACAATACCACACCATGACCAGCTCACTCTGCACAAACGTAATACCACAAACAGGCTCCAAACACATGCACAATACTCTTTCCTGGCCCTTTTGTCTCCTAGTATCCATTTATAGAGACACCAGAGACAAGTTGCAAGGAAACAGTGCAAGCATGTTATTAAATTTGCTTGCACTGTGCAGAACAAATACAGGGCTTTTTCCTCATGCTAGAGCTCTTCAGCAGAGCTCTGCGCATGGTCTGCCCTGGAAGAGCATTGAACCAACATGCTCACTTTGAGAGGGGGCGTGTTTGTCATGAGTGATGACAAAACACACCCTCTCTGCCCCGCCCCCTTCTTAGTGGGCCGCTGTGATAAAAAAATGCCCGGGCTGAATTTTTTTCCCAGTCCGGCCCTGCTGGCATACATACATACATTCATCATGACATACATAAATACATACAGACATACATATATACAAACTGACAGACATATATACATACATGCATACAAACAGACTTGCATACATACACACATACATGCATATATACAGACATACTGACATCCATACACACAGACATATGTTCATAATGACATGCAGACATACATTCATACTGACATACATATATACAGTTGCAAGAAAAAGTATGTGAACCCTTTGGAATGATATGGATTTCTGCACAAATTGGTCATAAAATGTGATCTGATCATCATCTACGTCACAACAATAGACAATCACAGTCTGCTTAAACTAATAACACAAAGAATGAAATGTTGCCATGTTTTTATTTAACACACCATGTAAACATTCACAGTGCAGGTGGAAAAAGTATGTGAACCCTTGTATTAAATAACTGGTTGAACCTCCTCTGGTAGCAATAACTTGAACCAAACGTTTCCTGTAGTTGCAGATCAGACGTGCACAATGGTCAGGAGTAATTCTTGACCATTCCTCTTTACAGAACTGTTTCAGTTCAGCAATATTCTTGGGATGTCTGGTGTGAATCGCTTTCTTGAGGTCATGCCACAGCATCTCAATCGGGTTGAGGTCAGGACTCTGACTGGGCCACTTCAGAAGGCGTATTTTCTTTTGTTTAAGCCATTCTGTTGTTGATTTACTTCTATGCTTTGGGTCATTGTCCTGTTGCAACACCCATCTTCTGTTGAGCTTCAGCTGGTAGACAGATGGCCTTAAGTTCTCCTGCAAAATGTCTTGATAAACATGGGAATTCATTTTTCCTTCGATGATAGAAATCCGTCCAGGCCCTGACGCAGCAAAGCAGCCCCAAACCATGATGCCCCCACCACCATACTTCACAGTTGGGATGAGGTTTTGATGTTGGTGTGCTGTGCCTTTTTTTCACCACACATAGTGTTGTGTGTTTCTTCCAAACAACTCAACTTTGGTTTCATCTGTCCACAGAATATTTTGCCAGTACTGCTGTGGAACATCCAGGTGCTCTTGTGCAAACTGTAAACGTGCAGCAATGTTTTGTTTGGACAGCAGTGGCTTCCTCTGTGGTATCCTCCCATGAAATCCATTCTTGTTTAGTGTTTTACATATTGTAGATTCGCTAACAGGGATGTTAGCATTTGCCAGTGACTTTTGTAAGTCTTTAGCTGACACTCTAGGATTCTTCTTCACCTCATTGAGCAGTCTGCGCTGTGCTCTTGCAGTCATCTTTACAGGATGGCCACTCCTAGGGAGAGTAGTAGCAGTGCTGAACTTTCTTCATTTATAGACAATTTGTCTTACTGTGGACTGATGAACAGCAAGGCGTTTGGAGATACTTTTATAACCCTTTCCAGCTTTATGCAAGTCAACAATTCTTAATCATAGGTCTTCTGAGAGCTCTTTTGCGCGAGGCATCATTCACATCAATGCTTCTTGTGAAAAGCAAACCCAGAATTGGTGTGTGTTTTTTATAGGGCAGCTGTAACCAACACCTCCAATCTCATCTCATTGATTGGACTTCAGTTGGCTGACATCTCACTCCAATTAGCTCTTGGAGATGTCATTAGTCTATGGGTTCACATACTTTTCCCACCTGCACTGTGAATGTTTACATGGTGTGTTCAATAAAAACATGGCAACATTTCATTCTTTGTGTGTTATTAGTTTAAGGAGACTGTGGTTGTCTATTGTTTTGACTTAGATGATGATATCACATTTTATGACCAATTTGTGCAGAAATCCATATCATTCCAAAGGGTTTACATACTTTTTCTTGCAACTATACATACATAATTACATACAAACATACATTGATACTGGCATACAGACATACATATATACATACATACTAACATACACACACACACACACACACACACACACACACAGCTCATTTTCCAGCCACCCTCCTGTTTCTTACCTTTTCTTTGCAGGAGGGTGGCTGGGGCTGAAAGGAGTCGGCTGGCTCTCCCTCTTCACTTCCTGGCTGGCGCTCCTCCCACGCGGAGTGAGCTGGGAGGAAGTGACTACTTCCTCCCAGCAGCACTTGCTGCGGCTGTGTGGTTTGTTGTTTGTTTGTTTGTTTTTGTTTTTTTTTAAAGGGGCTCGGTCGTGCTATTACACGGCCACAACGCTGTACAGGCCCCTGAAGATATAGGGCCCATCTGGTGGCCCTAAGTACATGGGCCACCCGATAGGCCCCATCAGCGAGCGGGCCCCGGTGCAACCGCCGCTACACGTTGGGCCCACTACACATGGTTGTCACCCCCTGATGGTGGCCCTTGCTGCCCTTTAGCAGAGTGCAAGAGACAGGTATGTGAGGTAGAGGTTAGTATTGGAGGCTATACGCTTTCCTAAAGAAATGGGTTTTAAGGGACTTCTTACACGATTGAAGACTAGGGGGAAGTCTGATGGCTGTAAGCAGGCTATTCCATAGGAAAGGAGCCGCCCACGAGAAGTCCTGCAAGCGTGAGTTGGCCGTACGGGTGCGATCAGCGGACAGGAGAAGGTCACAGCAGAGCGAAGAGACCGAGAAGGGGCATACCTATGGATCTGTGAGGAGATATAAGATGGGCTAAAATTGTTCAGTGCTTTATAGGTATGGGTTAGCACTTCAGATTGACTCCTATAGAATACAGGAAGCCAATGTATTGACTGACAGGGGTGAGGTGTGAGAGGACCGGCTAGAGAGGAAAATCAGTCTGGCGGCAGCATTCATTACAGACTGTAGCAGGGCAATACGGCTATTGGGAAGACCAATTAGGAGAGAGTTACAATAGTCCATGCAAGAGATTACTAGAGCATGGACAAGCTCTTTAATAGCATCTTGTGTGAGAAAGGGGCGGATCCGGGCGATGTTTGTTTTTTAAGGTGGAATTGGAATAATTTGACAACAGACCGGATGTGAGGCTCAAAGGTGAGGCCAGAATCAAAAGTAACACCGAGACTACGTGCTTGTAAGGATGAGCTGATATGGGTATCACCAATCTGAAGGGAGAGCGAGAAAGGAGGATTAATGTTAGGAGGAGGAAAGACAAGAAGTTCTGTTTTGGAAAGATTCAGTTTCAGACAGAGGGAGGAAATTCAATCAGAGATAGAAGAAAGGCAAGAGATGACACATTGCAGGACATCGGAGAGGTGCAGGGAGGAAAGAGATATCTGGGTGTCATCAGCATACAGGTGGTATTGGAATCCAAATGAGGTAATATGTTTGCCAAAAGTTGTGTAAAGAGAAAATAGAAGGGGACCAAGGACAGAGCCTTGGGGGACTCCAACTGAGACAGGACGAATGGTGGAGCTTTCATTAGAAAAGGAGAGACTGAATGAGCGTTTGGTGAGATAGGAAGAAAACCATGAGAGGACAAAGTCACAGAGACCAAGTGATCGAAGAGTTTGGAGGAGAACATGGTCAACGGTGTCATAAGCAGCAGAGTGGTCGAGAAGAATTAGTATGGAGTAGTGACCTATGGATTTAGCAGTGATAATGTCGTTAGTGACTTTGATAAGGGCAGTATCATTAGAGTGGAGGGGGCGGAGGCCTGGACTGAAAAGGGTCAAGGAGAGAGTTGGAGTTGAGGAAGCCGGCCAGACGGGTAAAGACTAGTCTTTCAAGAAGCATTGAGGAAAAATGGAGCAGGGATATAGGACGATAGTTAGAAGGGGAGGATGGGTCAAGACATGTTTTTTAAAGATGGGCACTACAGTAGCATGTTTAAGGACAGCAGGGACAGTGCCAGAAGAAAGAGCAGTTGAAGATGTGTGTTAAGGAGGGCACAAAACAAGATGAGAGATATCGGATAAGGTGAGACGGCACAGGATCAAGCGGGCA